TCGTTGCCCCACAGCATGTGGGATCTTAGTTCCCTGACCAGGGATCGGACACGCGTCCCCTGCGTTGCAAGGCAGTTTCTCAACCACTGGACCATCAGGGAAGTCCCCAAAAAGGATTTTAAAAAACAGTGTACCCCGTTGCACGTTAAGTTGACATCTAAACATTTTTGTCATAGGTTTAATAGCTGCAGAGGGTATAATTTCTGGCATACTGTGTATCTGCCTTAAATATTTTAGTTTGTCGGTTTTGGTTTTGATCAAAACCTTAGAGTTCTGCAGATTTGACTCATCCAATTTATGGAAAATGCCTTCCATATAACCTATTGGCCAAGACGGTCTTCATTTTCAAGTCAAATCCATTTGACTCTCTGTCAAATAAAATCTGACTTCATTTTTCAGTTAAAAAAAAAAGTCTTAGTGGTCTTCCCTTTGACAACATCTCTTCTGAATGCTAATTGTAATTTTAAGATAGATAGATGGGTAGTAGGTAGTGAAACTTGTAAACAAGGGACACGGGGAGAGCTCTCTGCCCTGTTATAAGACGCCCTCAGGAATCTGCAGTTGTCCTTCTGTGTGATGTCCCAGGGGCTTTTATACCCTGGGCAATTCATCAGGATAATTTGGAATGGGTTCCCGCCGGGGGTTCATTCCATTAGAATTTGTTTTCTCTGAAAAGTACGGGAGATCTTGTGACACAGTTTTATCCCCAAGTCTCTATTTTCTAGATTCTTGGAAGAGTGGGTTGCTTCTGCAGGTGATTACCCTCAGCTTAACCAGGTTCTATGGATGTTTATAAATCTACAGTTACTGGAGCGTTATGCTTGCCAGCCCTGTCTCTGGATATGGGTGGTCCCTCATACCCAAGAAAGTTAAGTGAGGTGGAATTGTATTATAGTAATAGCAAAAGAAACTAATGATCTCTACCAGATATTGGTGGTTTAGGCGATGCTGTGGTGTAAGGAAAGAGATGTACTGCATTAACCCACAAGGAGATCAAAGGTGCTTTAAAATAAAAATATTGGCAAAGTATGCAAATTGAACAGATTTTCATTGATCCCTGTCTTAGGTGCTGGTCAAGGGAGATTTTAGGATAAATAAGGCCTGGTCTCTTCCTCACCTAGTTATTATTTCTTTTCTTCTGCTGACTTTGGGTTTAATTTGTTCTTTTCTGGTTTCTTGTGGTGGAAACTGAGGTCATTGATTTGATACCTCTCTTTTCTGATGTAGGTATTCCCTTCTAAGTCCTGCTCTGGCTGCATCCCACAAGTTTTGCTGTGTTGTGGTTTCACACCATTCAAAATACTTTCTAATTTCTCTTTTGATTTCTTCTTGAGCATGGTCTCTAGGCACGCAGGCTTCAGTAGTTGTGGCACATGGGCTCAGTAGTTGTGGCTCACGGGCTCTAGAGCGCAGGCTCAGTAGTTGTGGCTCATGGGCTTAGTTGCTCCATGGCATGTGGGACCTTCCCAGATCAGGGATCGAACTCATGTCCCCTGCATTGGCAGGTGGATTCTTTTAACCACCCGGGAAGTCCAAACTGTCACTTATCTTTGAAAGAGATTTAAATAATAAGGAAAAAGTTCTTTCCATCTACCCACACAATTACCATTTCTAGTGCTCTTCATTCCTTTCATTCCATTCTTCATCTGGTTATCATTTTTCTCTATCTGAAGGATTCCTTTAACATTTCTTGTAATGCAGATCTGCTGGTGGTAAATTCTTTCAGCTTTTGTATGTCTGAAAAGTGTTTATTTTGCCTTCCTTTTGGAAGGTATTTTTCTAGGTATAAAATTCTGGATTAACAGTTTCTGATGGAAAGCCCCCTGTCATTCTTGTTTTTGTTCTTCTGTAAGTAATGGGTCTTTTTCTCAAGGTGTTTTTATATCACTGGGTTTCAGAAATTTAACTGTGATGTGCCTGAGTGTAGTTTTTTGTTTTGTTTTGTTTTGTTTTGTTTTGTTTTGATGTTTTTTATGCTTGGGGTTTGCTGAGCTTCTTGGATCTGTAGGTTTTAATAAATTTGGAAAAAATCTGGCCATTATTTCTTTAAATATTTGTTCTGTCCCCACCTCCATGAACTTCAGTTGGGTGTATATTAGTCTATTAGCAGTTCTCCCACAGCTCACTAATGCATTTTTCATTTTTTTGTATTGTTTTATTTTTTCTCTCTGTGTTTCATTTTGTAAAGTTTCTGTTGCTGTGTCTTCAAGTTCATTAATCTTTTCTTCTGCATTGTCTAACCTGCTATTAAAACCATCCAGTGTGTTTTTCGTCTCAGACATTGTAGTTTTCTTCTAGAGTATCTGCAATGTCTCTGTTTAACGTTCTTGATCTTTCTTGAGCGTGTAGGATACAGTTACGACTTGCAATATCCTTGTGTACTAATTCTGTCATACACGTGATTTCTGGATCAGTTTCAATGGACTGATTTCTCATCATGGGTCACCTTTTCCTGCTTCTTTGCATTAGGCTGTTAATTTTTTATGGGATTTTTATCTTGGATATCTTTGTATTCCTATAAATATTCTTGAGCTTTATTCTGGGATGCAGTGATTCAGAAACAGTTTGACCCTTTCCGAGCCTGCCTTTTTTTTTTTTTTTTTTTTTTCGGTACGCGGGCCTCTCACCGTTGTGGCCTCTCCCGTTGCGGAGCACAGGCTCCGGACGCGCAGGCTCAGCGGCCATGGCTCACGGGCCCAGCCGCTCCGCGGCATGTGGGATCCTCCCGGACCGGGGCACGAACCCGCGTCCCCTGCATCGGCAGGCGGACTCTCAACCACTGCGCCACCAGGGAAGCCCTGAGCCTGCTTTTTAAAGCTTTGTTAGTCAGGCAAGAACAGCATTTAGTCTGGGGCCAGTTTTGCCCCACTATTGAGGCGAAACCCTCTGAGTACCCTTCCGGAACCTTCCTATATTATGAGGTTTTTCCACTCCAGCTGGTGGGAACAGGAACTATTCTTAGCCCTGTGATGCCTTTGGCTGGTTCCTTCCCCACCCACAGGCAGTTTCCTCATACTCACTTGCTCTGATTTTGGGGGGCCCTCAGCAGAGCTCCGGAGCTTGCTGTCTGTGTAGCTCTGTCTTCTCTGGTACTCTGTCCTGCAAACTCTAGCTGTCCTGGCCTCCCAGCTGCTTTTCTTCAACATAGGGAGACTACTGGGCTCTGCTGGGTACCCACTCTCTGCGCCATATCCTGGAAACCCCAGGCAGGAAGCCTGGGCAGTTGAGGGGCTCACGTGTTTAGAAATCTCAGGAATCACTGCCCTTCGTTGCCTAATGTCCAGTGTCTTGAAAACCATTCTCGTATATTTTGCCTTCCTTTTGGAAGGTATTTTTCTAAGTATAAAATTCTGGATTAACAGTTTCTGATGGAAAGCCCCCTGTCATTCTTGTTTTTGTTCTTCTGTAATGGGTCTTTTTCTTAAGGTGCTTTTAAGATTTTACTTTTTATCACTGGGTTTCAGAAATTTAATTTGTTTTTTCAGAAATTTAAGTTGTTACAGGCAGGAAGGTGAATTGGTTCCTGTTACTGCATCTTGGCTAGAACCCCCTCACCCCCTGAGTTCATAACTCAGTTCCGTGGTACAGAGTAGTCCATTAAATGAAAAGCCAGTAACCTCCTCAATAAGGGATTTATCTCATGTTTGTAGATGGGGGCCTAAAACATCACCATCTCCCCCAACTCACCAGATTTTCAGTGCCTAAAAAAAGATTAATTTTCACTAAAGGATTACTTATTTATATAGGGATTTTTGCTCTGGACTGGCTCTTCTTTAGTATTAAAGCTATTTATTTCTATGAACTCACAATCATTTTCTATTTATTTACTTATTTGTGGCTGTGTTGGGTCTTTGTTGCTGCACGTGGACTTTCTCTAGTTGCTACAAGCAGGGGCTACTCTTCGTTGCAGTGTGCAGGCTTCTCATTGCAGTGGCTTCTCTTGTTGTGGAGCATGGGATTTAGGTGCCCGGGCTTCAGTAGTTGTGGCACACAGGCTCAGTAGTTGTGGCTCACGGGCTCTAGAGTGCAGGCTCAGTAGTTGTGGCACACTGGCTTGGTTGCTCCGTGGCATGTGGGATCTTCCCGGACCAGGCTTGAACCCACGTCCCCTGCATTGGCAGGTGGATTCTTAACCAACGTGCCACCAGGGAAGACCCTGAACTCACAATCACTTTCTTTTCTTTTTCTTTCTTTTTTTTTTTTGCTGCACCACACAGCATGTGGGATCTTGGTTTCCCCACCAGGCATCAAACCCATGCCCCTTACAGTGGAAGCGTGGAGTTTTAACCACTGGATCACCAGGGAAGTCCCTCACAACCATCTTCTAGATAAAATAGCTAATATGTACTGTTCTAAGAGCTTTGTACATTATTTCATTTAGTCTTTAACCGACTCTGTGAAGTAATGATATGGTTCTGTTACTATCCTCATTTTGCACATGAGGCTATTAAAGCACAGAGAGGTAAAGTAACTTGACCAAGATCACACAGCCAGTAAGTGATGGCCAGGATTGAACCTGGGGTCTGGCTCCAAAGACTAGACATTTAATCAACACACAAAACTGCTTCCAGGTAAAGTTGTTCTGTATATCCAGTGAGAGGGCAACTGATGCGCGTTCCTCAACTTTCAAACAAGCATGCCGTCTTGCTTTCCCTTGTCGTGTTTTCTTTTTAAATAACGGTTGTATGTATGCACACATGTGTGCCTGGTCATACATGCTCATGATTTGGTTTCACTAGATATAAGAGGATATTCAAAGAAAATAAACCTCCCATCTATCTTTCTTCCTTCAAACCCCGAAGTTCCCCCCCACCCCACCCCAAACCGTCTCTTCAATTTTAGTTCGTCTTTCCAGAGAGATTCTTCACGTACACAAGCTTAGAAATAGATGGCAGCAAACTATCCCCTTTCTTCTGCACCTTGCTCTTTTCATCTAACAAGATATTTTCAAGTCATTCCATAATAGTAGGTGTAGAGCTGCCTTACTCTTTTTGACAGCTGCCTAGGGCTCCATTGTGGTTGTGCATTAATTTACAACCTACTCCCCTTCTAAAGAATTTTACATTGTTTCCAAACCTGTGCTATTGTAAATCAGGCTGCAAAAAATATCCTTATATTTTATCACACATATGTATCCCATATATATCACATTTGTATATGTGATTTCCCACATGTGCAAATATTTCTGCAGGATAAATCACTAAAAGTGGAATTGCTGTGTCAGAGCGTTTGTGCTTTTGATATGTTGGTAGCTGTGACTAAATTGCTCTCCAGAGAGATTATACTGATTTACACTCTCATAGCAGCGTATGAGGGTATATATTTCTCTATACTCTCCCCAACACAGTCTATTAAACTTTTTTCATGCTGTGTTTGTTTTCAAAATAATGGCTGTGAACACCGTATCAAAGGGTTACCTTTGTGAGGGATGACCCGGCACTGCATTTGTCTGCCAGGAAACTAAGAAACAAATGACCAAAGATTAATTCCCTTTTGTTCATGATCATTTACTCATTTCAGCCCACAGACTTCATCTATGCCTGGTTCTGGGCACTAGGGGTAGAAAGATCTGCGACTTGGTCCCTGTCCCCAGGAAGTTCATCTTGTAGAGCGAGACACAGAGAAGTGGCTATGATATGGTGTGCATTGTGTTACACACAGTTGCAGAGAATGGGATAATGGAACAAGGGAAAGTGTTGCTAGATGTCTTAGGAAGTGTTGCCAGGATCTCTTGATTGTGCTAAACTTGATGGGGAATGTCATCCCGGAAACAGCCAGGTGGAGAGAAGGAAGTTGGACTCTTGAGGACCAGCCAGCTCAAGGTGGATGCTGTGCGACTGGAAGCTCCTCTGGAGGTTACCGCGGGCACCTCCCTGCAGAACTGCCGGCTGCATGCAGGGAATCGGTCGGCTGTGATTGGAGGGATGTTGCTGGTGGGGATAATGAACTCGGTAGTGTCGGCAGAGGTGATTGGCCGCGCCCTGCTGCAGTGAGAATGCAGGCTGGATGCTCGGGTCCTCACTTGCGTGATGATCATTAATTGAGCGAGGACAGCTGAATAATTGGGAGCTCGAAGTTGCTTCTGCCTCCGGGAGAGGTCTGTTGGGCTATCGCTTTTTTCCTTTTTTCAAAAAGCCAAGCATTTGATCACCGTCCACCTGCAAAAGTGAGTTTTTATTGAAGAAGCTCCAGCTGCTCTCTCGTTGTCAGCGACCCGGCGGGGCTTTCAGAGTGAGCTGCTTCTCAGGCCAGGCACGACAGCAGTGCTAGCAAATTTGAGAAGGCAGGAAACAGCCACTGCATGCAGAGCTGCCAGCCTTACAACTCCCCAGGCTAGTCGTCCAAGCAGCTGTGTAGCCAGAGACCCTTGGTATTGTGGTCACATCCCTCCTCAAAAGTGAACGGTCACCGTCGGCGACGTGGGGAGGAAGCCGTGATGTTGCAGGTGCTGTGGCATTTTCTGTCTAGCTTCTTCCCCAGGGCCAGGTGCCAAGGCTCCAGAGAGGGGAGCGGGAATGAAGTCAGAGGCACCCCGGCTCCGGCACGGGGAGCCCAGCTGCCAAGCTTTTTGGGGAAACAGGACGGAAGGGCTGAGGCCACGGAAAAGAGACCCACCATCTTGCTGGTGGTCGGACCCGCAGAGCAGTTTCCAAAGGTAATGGCAATGTCGAGAGGACCTCCTAGGTTAGGGGCTAGCCTAGGATCATTTTCCTGGAAAAAGCTGGAGTGTGGGGGAGGAAGAGAGGACTTATGAATGAATCCGTTTGGTACCGGGGGCCTGGGGAGAAGTGTTAGACAATGAAGAAGCCCAGCTCCAGTCCAGAATCTTTCTGTGGCCACTGCAAAAGCTTTATTACCCAATTGTGACCACTTCAGTGCGGCCATTTGAAGAAGGAAGGTTGACTGCAATGGAAGATTTACCTTAGGATTTGTCTCTTTGGCCCCAGAAAGCCATTTGAAAGGCAGGGACAAACAATTACACCGTGTCTTAGGTCTTAGCCTGTTTAAACAGCACAGGGAGGACGGAGCTCAGCGGGCAACAGAGCAAACCTTCCAAAGTGAACCCAGCTGCCGGGAGCTGGGGAGGACCAGCCTGCTCTGCATCCCAAAAGTCAGACCCTCTGCCTTGGTGGGCAGGGGACCCGTCTTGCCTTTCTTTCTGGGAGAAAGGGAGCAATGAGGCAGAGTGGAGGCTGGAGTCTCAGTGCACGGAGGCCGGCACTCCTCACGGGTCTGCGGGTCTGCTGAGCGCTGGGGCCTTCCGTCCATTTCGTGCCCTGAGCGTGGCTTATGTCATCTGATCCTCACAAGAACCAGGGTAAGTGATAGCACCCCCATTTCACAGATGAGGAAACTGAGGTGCAGAAAGGTTAAGTAATTTGCCCGGGATTAAACAGTTAAGAAGGGGTAGAGGTGAGATTTCATTTCAGTCTACCTGGAACTTTGCCATGTACTGCCCTCATCTTCCCTTAAGAAAGCAGTTTTTAATGGGACCAGTCGAGTTCTCAGGATCAGAACAGAAAGGCTATTTGGCTGTGGTTTCTCCTGCCTGTGGTAGGAGAACCTTGTTCACCTCCTGAGGCTTGGTTATTTTGAATCTTTTCTCCTTTCTCAGGATAAAAATGAACTGGAAAAAGGAAGGAGATTCTGCGCTGTGTGTGGTACACTGTAGAGTCCAAAAAAGGTTCTGCTGAATTGAACTACTGCATTTAAGAAATGGATGTTCATTTTTCCTTTGCTAAGTGGGAGGAACTTTTGATGCAACAACTTTGGCAGTGGTTTCAGGTTACGCATTGAGGAGACTCCTTAGTCTGTGATGGGCTCGTCCGGGGCGACAGGGGTCTCGGCATCTGTGCTGTGCCTGAGATGTGACAGGTGTCGCTTTCTACCTTTTGATCATTTTACAGGAGCTCGGAAATGGCCGTGGCGTTATCTATTATGAGGAACTTTTATCTCCAGACCTGCTTGCCTTATGGCCAAGGGCTTAAGGGACTGGCTGGCTCCTTTTAAATTCACCCACTTTTGACTATAATAATTAACTGCTCCACTTCCCAGACTCACACCGACTGGCAGCTCTTGTCAGCCCTCCCCCTGGGCTGGCCTGGCATCAGGACTGTTCTGAACGGCTTCTTTCCTGGCCTACAGAATCGGGAGCAAGGCGGGCTGAACCTGAGACCCACACCTCTCACTGACACTTCTCCCCAGAAGGGAGATGGATCAGCTGCCTGGGGGTGTGGGGAGCCCCAAGAGGGAGGCGCGTCAGCTGGTTTTGGTTTGAAACAAGCAAGAAAGCGCTTCTGGGCGGTGTGTGGACCCTTTAAAGGCAGACAAATTAAGAACTGGAAGAGTGTTTCAGCAGCGTGCGTCCTTTTCCAGCACAGCTGCTCTTGAAGGTAGGGGTTGGAGGTTGGGATCGCGGGCCGGTGGGGCCTGGCTCGCCATTTCTCTCCGGCAGACGCTGCCACAACCTCATGGGAACCTCGTAGAGACGTTCACTTTGGTTCTCCGCCTTCTAAGTTTCCCAGTGGCGCTACTTTGTTCGACTCTCATTTCTCTCTTAAATATGTCTGCTGGTGAGTCAGGTTCCGGCCAGCTTTTATTCTCAGAACTGTTCCAGTTTCCCCCCTTATCTTTGTCTTAGAGTCAATCTGCAGTTGGAGAAGAAAGCCATTAGTCTGGGGTGGGAGGTGCCCTGAGCGGCATTCAAGCTTTCAAATCCTGAGGGGCCGTCTTCTCAGAAGCTCAGAGAATTTTGCTCATTGTGTGTCTAATTGCCAAGTGCAGGCAGGTTTCATTGGAAACCGGCTCCACTGGGCTGTCATGGCAACCCGATCATCAAATGACATTACGGGCTACAGCAGCAAATGAGGCTCGAGGGCCTTACGGGTGGGTGGGGCTAGAATAGCTGGATGCTGGCAATATATTAATATTTTTGGCTTGGTCTGAGTCATTGGCGGGGCGGGGGGGGAGTGCGGTGGAAATACTGTATGAGCTAATGCCACGCTCCCGGAGGTACTCTACCTGCCCTGTTGTTGCTCATGGTATTCCGGCACTTACGGGGATCTTTGGCATGAAACAGTGGTAGAACAAGGAAAGCTGGTGGGGTGGGGGCATGCGCAGATCTGAGGGTGAGAAGGTGCTTGTGAGAGGAACTGCTACTTAGCAGATTAAGGGAAATCGAATGTCACTGAATTCTAAGGCATCTGGAGTGGCTGCCATTGTTTCTGAGTACTGGTTGTTACAGGAATGGACACTGCAAGAAAGGAAACAAAAGTAGATCTGGGTCACAAAATTAGAACAGGTAAAGATAGCAGAGAAGACATGTCGATGGCAGGAGTGGGAGAGAGCACTTTACTTGGGCCTCCAGAAGCACCGGGAGCTGGTGTGAAACATCAGGAACGGAGCACAAGCCCTGCTTTATGAACTTTTTTTTTTTTTTTTTTTGGCTACGCCACGTGGCATGCGGGATCTCAGTTCCCCAGCCAGGGATAGAACCCGTGCCCGCTGCAGCGGAAGCACGGAGTCCTAACCGCTGGGCCGCCAGGGAAGTCCTGAGCCCTGCCATATTCGTCTTCCTTATTTGTATTTCTCACGTATGTGTTCAGAGCTGTAACAGATACATTTTTTGTGTGGTTTTTTTTTAGCTAAGGCTAAAATTACTCCCCCGCATCTGCTGCCTTCCCATGTGAGGTACTGCTCACTGTAATTCTCAGGGTCAGGCTGACAAGTGTTCTTTGGAAGCTGAATTCTAAAATCTCTTTATGGCAGTGTCAGGCTTGGATGCTGTTTTAAGTGGCCATTGTAACAGGAGCCAGGCTCTGGTGAGCCTCCGCCAGCTGGCTCTGGGGCCCGGGCAAACCAGGTGGCCTCTCCTGGCCTGTTTCTTCATCTCGGAGATTCAGAGATGACCCCAGGGCCCCTGTGGGGCCCAGTGTCTGTAATTCCAAGGAGAGAGCATTTGCCTTGGACACCAGGTGCCTGGAGCTTGGCTCAACTGAGAAGTAAAGGTTTCTGTGTGACAACAGAGTTCTGCATGACCTATGCAACTCAGGAAGATGGGTGGTTTAAATAAATAAGCAAACGCCAGTTTACGTTTGTCCAGTGAAGACATTCTGTTGGACTCAAACACAGTTGCAAAAGAGAAATACGTTGGAGCCCTTTAAGATTAACATTGGAATAGAATTAATGTAAGCGTTGTAAAATAACGTCTTGACGAGCACATGCAGAACTTTTCAGAGAACATTTCCCGGCCCTGTGATGCCATCGGTCTGTAGAGTAATGAGCTCTGTTATAATCAAGGACACTCCATTCTGTTGATTCTAGAAGATAGTTGCCCTTGTTTCATGATGCTTTAATAATTGTTCCTTATATATTGAATGCTGATTTCACTTTCATTTGGTATTGTTTTCAAATCTCTTCTCAGATTTGTCTTGTAAATACATCATACAACTCATTGGTACCAAAAAAAACCCCTCAATGGTACAATTATGTTTACCAACATGACTTGAAAAACATAGTTTAGTAGGAAAGGAACATCTTCAATTGAACAACTTATTTATTCAGTCAAAATATTTGCCATTTTGTATTGGAAGGACTGCAGTTGTCATTGAAATGAGACACTTCAACAGATCTGTGTGATTTATTTTCGTTTCAGAAGCAATCGTGAATAATTTTAAAAAGGAAGATCAGCATTTAAAATTCAGCTTTTTTATTTATAAGTGTGAACTTCCTTTAAAATAAAAATAATAATACAGTATCTTTTTGAGTTGAGGTGGACAAAATACCCTGAGGACTCTGTTTGCTGGCACTCGGGAAACCAAACCTAAGGTCTTCATCAAGAGTGGTCGTGTTTGTTTTTTGGGGTCTCAGAGGCCTGCCAAGCACGATTCATTCATTCATTCAGAAACTGCTTATGTCAAGCACCTCCGTGATCAAGGCAAGGGCTCATTCCAGGCAAGGAGGTACAAAGGCCCTGCCTTTAGGACCCTAGCAGTAGAGATAAGATGTACGTAAAAATAGCCGTAAAGCAGAACATTCTGGATTGGGTAGCTTAAGAGACAGCTGAGTATCATGGATTTAGGTGGAGGCTGAGCAGGAATTGGCCTGAATAATCCTGAGTTGCCTCTGGATACCTCATCGCATCCTCCCTAGTGGGTGGATGAAACAGCCCAAGACCTGTTTTTACAGACTCACCATCAGATCTCTTTTAGAAGGGCTGAAATATCATATAAGTCATTAAAATCTGTTTCATAATGATGTATATAAGCATCAACATCTTATTTTAAGAACCTTTTTCAAGTTCTCAACAAAAAGCTTTTTAGTGAATTTAAGAAGTTCCTTTTACTTTGGTGGATCCCCAGATGACATCCATCTGTTTTTAATCCATCCTGGTCGCGAGGTTTCGTCTATATTAGGAAGTGGTGCACTGTAGATGGAACATAGCGAGATGGATTCCTTTTTCATCTCTGTGACGTGGGCTCTTCCTCTGCAGCATGCATCTGACATCTTCCTTGGGAAGGAATGAGGTGGAGGTGGCAGGGTGGCCCTTAAATAAAGATCGGATCCTGACTCTCCAAGACCTGAAGTTTCCTCTCATCCTCACCTAAAAGGGACATTCTAGGGCAGTGTTGCTCAGTAGAACTTTCTGTGATGATGGAAATAATGTGTGGCCATGCGACCAAGGAAATGAATTCTTAGTTTCATTGAATTTTAGTTTATTTACAATTGAGGACTTCCCTGGCAGTCTAGTGGTTAAGACGCCACTGTTCAGGGGCGCGGGTTCGATCCCTGGTCAGGGAACTAAGATCCCACATGCTGTGTGGCGTGGCAAAATAAAGTAAAAGTATTGAGCAGCACAGTTGTAGACCAGAAAGCTCCGATGCACTGAACTTTAGAGTGTCCTGAATGAATGTGGGCTCTGAAGACCACATCCGCGGATCTTAAGTGAGGCCCAGGCTGACCCCAGATTGGCGCTGCTGAGGAGTGGCCTAGAGTGTCCTCTTCCTGCCCCCATCATTTCAGCCTCTCGGTGCTTGTGGGGTCCCCAGGCAAAGCCTACAGGGGAGGGGCTGCTCATGTGCAGGGTGGCCTGGGGAGGGTCACTAGAGCCAGCCAGAGCTGTGCCTGGAAAGCCGTGTGGCCCAGGCAGCCGGCTGAGGGGCAGCTCCCCTGCAAGTGAAAGACCCCTCCCCACCCCCACCGGGGGCTACTTCCCGGACTACCCCCCCCCCCCCCCCCCCACTGACTTCTACCCTCACAGCGAAACGGGGCCGTTTCAGGTGAGCACTGATTCATTCTCTACCTCCACTTATTTTTCTGCTGGGAATGATTTACCAAGGAGAGAAACCACTGTATTGTGTGACGCGTTTGGGGACCTTGTGGAAAAACAGGCCAAAGGCTGTTTGTTTGGAGGGATTGGCAGCCAGAGGGTGAAGGTTTCTGGGGCAGATCCCAGGGCAGGGCAGAGTGCTCTGCCCGTCTCCGAAGAGTTAACTGGGGAGCAGGTGACGTCAGTCCTGATCTTTATCCCTCTGCACTCGGCCACGCACGCCTCCTTGCCGGGCTCTGTGCTCATTGGCTGTGGGCGGGAGGTTCAGTGAGCAGACTTTTTTCAATTAAGTGAAAGGACAGGGTGGAGGCAGCCAATGACAGCTGCGCCCCAGCATACCTTGTGCAAGTGTGCTGGGCCGGGCAGCATTCTCCTGCCTCCACGCCGCCTGAAACAGCTCCCACCAGCATGCTCTGCCTGTGCCTGTACGTGCCCCTCATCGGGGAGGCCCAGACCGAGTTCCAGTACTTCGAGTCCAAGGGGCTTCCCGCCGAGCTGAAGTCCATCTTCAAACTCAGTGTCTTTATCCCCTCCCAGGAGTTCTCCACCTACCGCCAGTGGAAGCAGGTCTGTACCTCTGTACCGTGGAAGGCAGCGGGCGTTTCATCAGTGTTGGCTGAGTGAATGGATGAGCTGGTAGAGGGTCTGCATACCTCAAAGGTCCCCACCATTTCTAAGCGTGCCAGTTTTTCCCCCAGCTGTTGCGTAACTATAGGCAGCTAAAGGGCTATTACATCATGGGAGTGACTGGCTCTCATGTGACTTCCAAGGAAGGCTGGAATTATAGGGAAGGCACTTGTGGGAGACAGAAAGGAATTTTCTTGCGGAGGGCGGGGTTCTAAGCAGTGCAGGGCCAGGAAGTGCAGGGGCACAAGTCTAGCTGCTTTATCTGAGCTGGGGGGCAGGAGGGGAGGGGAGAGGCCCTTCATTGGAGACCCAGGAGTTGGAACCGTGGCTGCGGAGGCTGGAGGTGACAGGGCTGTGCCCTGGGTGAAACAAACCAACGGGCAGGGGTGAGGGGACCTTCCTAGGCGTCTCTTTGGAGCAGGAGGCAGCAGAAATCATTACTAATTTAAATATGGGGAAACAGCTACAGAGTCTGAGGGGGTCGCCTGCCTCCTAAAGGGACACCCCAACTTCTCCGTTAATCAGATCCTGTGCTATCCCCCAGTGCTCACGATGGCAGTGACGGTCAGATGGTGTGCAGGGGGTGGTGATTTGCATATCCTAGGAAGGAGACCGGACTGAGGTAGAAGCAACGACTTAGAATATTTTGAAATCAGCTGCATGAGCATGTCCTTGAGTTGTCTGTATCACGGGCACCCACCCAACAAGGCACATGGATCGCGTTGGTGCCAGAGCCACCCAGATACCAATGAGCTTCGTGCCCAGTGTCCGCCTCATTTCTAAATGACATGCAGATTCTATTTCCGCTCCTCTCATAAATCTAGGGTGCTTAACCTAAATGTAATCTGTATTTTGGTGGAGAGCACAAATGTCTGCAGGAAGTTAACATAACTCCAGACAGCTGATAGAACACGTGCCAGCCTGTGTCTCACATTCCAGCCACAGCCTCCCTGAGTTGTTCTTTGGATCATGTTAGGTGACACAGTATCTGGAGAGGACCAGCTAGCCAATGGCCCATCAATTTCCAAACCCACTGGCTCAGAAGACTTTGAAACCCACACTGGTTTGTGGATAGTGACTGTATTTCTTGCTGAGAGAATTGGGCAACACAGGGAGACTCTAACCATTTTCCTTAGGAGATTTTTGGTCCTAGTTTTGGGGTGTTGCTGGGTTGGAGTGACTCATGTATGTTCCCCACCTTCTTGAGATTAACCTTTAGAATGGCAGCAGGCACTCTACAGAGGTGGCTCTGGAGGTCCATCAGGCCTGGCTTGAATCCTGCCCACCAACTTCCCTAACTGTGCGACCTTGGATAAATTACTAAACCTCTGTGAGCTTCTGTTTCCTTCTCTGGAAAATGGGGGAAATGATAGTACCCACCTCCCAGGCCTGTTTGCGAGGATTCAGCGGGTCACTAGAGGTAAAGCATTTAGCGGGACCCCGGGCACAGACCAGTTGCTGAGCATTGAAAACGGACTGCAGCTGCTGAACAGAGCTCATGTCTAAGGGCAGGTGCAGGTTTTTGGAACCTCACTGCCCAGGAAAGGGTCCCTTAAAGCTTCCTTGGGTCACTGAACAATTCCTAAGTGGAGCTGCCCTGCTTTTCAGTGCCTGGTTAAGGGAGCTGAGGTTGGTTATAGCACCTGGCTCCCCTGAGATCAGAGACAGGCAGCGCCATCAAGCAGGCCCAAGAACAGTTCCCATTGCTCTTACCACTTCTCCATCCTCCAGAGTTCTCTCTGGCAGTATTTCTGCCAAGCAGCCATTGGCAGGGGCCAGCTCTGCCCTGTACCTTTACCCTGGTCGCCCCCAATTGTTCTTGGGCCAGTGCCACTTTTAGGGATAAAAAGAGCAAGCTGCAGAGTTTCTGAGGGAATCTGGAGCTCCAGGGCCACCCCACATTTGGGCAGAGAGCATGTGGGGCTGAGGCCTGGCACCAGGGACAGAGCTGCAGGGGAGCCGGGCAGCTGGCCTGGTGGAAGTACCAAGCCCACTGCTGCCGGCCTCTGTCAGAAGGGCTCCTCTTGCGGGCTCTTTTTCCTCTTTCTCATGAGGGAAACACGGTGGGCTCTTGGCTGGGTTCTGGCTGGCCCTAGGGGATCCAGGTGGTGGCCCTGGGAGTGGAGGGGGGGAAGTGTCTCGGGTCATGGGGCCACCTCTGTTCACGGTTGAGCAGTTGTTTCCTGGGAACGGGACACCACGAGGGACAGGAAAAGCTGAAGGACAAAACCTTACTTTTGTTTTATAGAAAATTGTACAAGCTGGCGACAAAGACCTCGATGGGCAGCTAGACTTTGAAGAGTTTGTCCATTATCTCCAAGATCATGAGAAGAAACTGAGGCTGGTATTCAAGAGTTTGGACAAGAAGAATGATGGTAAGCATTGCCCCCGGGGGCCAGCGGCGGGCCCAGCGGTCCTGGGCCTCTCCGCAGGGCTGGCTTCCGGCTCACGGCCTTTGTTGTTCCAGGACGGATCGACGCGCAGGAGATCATGCAGTCCCTGCGGGACCTGGGAGTCAAGATATCTGAACAGCAGGCAGAAAAAATCCTCAAGAGGTGAGTGCGTAGCCGCCCCTGCGTCTGGTTGAACAAAAGTGTGACGAAAGAAGGCTTCTTGGACTCACTCCCTCGTGCCATTCACTGTATTGACCCTGTTTCCGCGAACTTTGGCTTCTGGTGGTTGGAAGGGATGAATAAGTAACCCCTCCCAGAGACCAGCTGCTCCCCGGGTTCCTGGTCAGCTCCGGTGGTAGAATCACAGATCACCTGGCAGAGTGCCTGAGCGCCAGCCACCCGCTAAGAGAGAAGACTAGCTGGGGATTTTAGTAGGTGAAAGGCCAGCAAGGGACACCCTTCTCTGCCCGGTCGTCCAGGGGCAGGGCTCACGTGGCCGCCCTCCACTGTGGGGAACTTCCTCCTAATAGAACACTAAGATGTGCTGCCCCGAAGGGCATCCCACAGGCCAGGGGTGGTCCTGGGGACTGGCATCACTGCTGTGCTGGGAACTCGCACAGAACAGCCCCAGAGCCGCTTCCTGTCCTCCGGAGCCTCCCCAAGTCCCAGGGGCCCGAAGCCGGCTGGTCAGGGACGGCAGCCTCTGGCCCTTGCTCCCCTCCGCGTGGAGGGTGCGTCCTCGTGCTGTGCCGTGGCATGTGCTTGCGTCACTAACCGCCGCTCAGAGCACTTATTTGTGTTGTTTCTCCTCTCTCCTCTGCATCTTCCTTTGTCTGTCTGTCAGAATACGAACGGGCCACTTCTGGGGCCCTGTCACCTAGTAAGTATCCGTGTCACTCTCGGGACCGCCTCCCTCCTTGACCTCTGTGCCCGATCAGAACGGGGTTCTCGTGGGCCATCAAATCCCGTTTTTGTACCAGGTGGGATGTGGAGCCACCTGGCCTTTTCTCCTCCGGGGCAGAGGCGCCTTCTGTGGTTTCCTGGTGGCCACGCGCCTGCCCTCGGCTCCCCTGGAGGTGGGAAGTGCGGCTGACAGACGGGGCCTGTTTACATTTGGGCGACCCACATATTTGTCTTGCAGCATGGACAAGAACGGCACAATGACCATCGACTGGAACGAGTGGCGAGACTATCACCTCCTGCACCCCGTGGAAAACATCCCTGAGATCATCCTGTACTGGAAGCATTCCACGGTGAGCCCCGTGCTCCTGGGGCCGGAAGGGGGTTTCTCCCTCGTCCGTTCATAGGGTCCCCTTCGCCCAGCATTAGCCCCCATCGTGGTGGGGGTTCCCAGCCCACCTCCCCTTCAGTGGTGGGGCTGTCTGCTTCTCTGCCAGCCTTCCACATGCTCCCTCCGTCTCCCTCATGCCGGCCAACCTGAACGGCCCGCCCATGCCCCAAACACGGGGCTCCCTCTGCTAGAAACAATGCCCTCCTGTCCCCACATGCTGCCTGTTCTTCAAGGTCCGCTGTAAGCTCCCGCTCCCTGAGCCTCCTTGTTCTTCCAAAGCCTCCTGAGGGCTGCTCTGCAGAGATCCAGTAGCAGAGCTGTTCAGTTTCTCCCCCCGGCCACCCCATTTTTTGTGTCATTTCTCTCTATGGCTAAAGAATACCTCCCCACTGCTCTTTCACCCCCGGTCAGAAACACACAGAGCTCTGCGCCCTCACTGGTAGTGGCCCCATTGACCCCTCGCCCGCGAGCCCCCTTCACGCATGAGCATCCCTTTCTGCTGGTCCTTGCTGAGTATCCCCTGGTGGCAGTCTTATCCATCCTGGACCGTCAACTCCAGAAGAGGAGGCCACAGGTCCTCCTCCTCTGTCTCCCGAGGTGCCCTCAGGGGACGCCTGGCATCTTCGTTGGCTGAAATTAGGTGGACGCTCTGCGGGTAGGAGCCGCTGCCCCGTGGGTCTGGCCTGCAGCCCCAAGGTTGGAGCAGAGCTGGCTCTGCCTGCCGAGCCGGGAGGCCGCCTGGGAGAGAGGGCATTGCACAGGCAGCACAACCTCTCGTGTTTGCAGAAGTCTTGCATAACGTTCTGCCAACGTGATCCGGTTACACGTCAGGTTCCAGAAGAATTTTTGTCCCTGACTTGATCCTTCCAGTACAGCCAACCTGGTGATCCTCAGCCGCAGTGCCTTTGTCAGCTGTTCTGCAGGAGCCCCTGGCAGTGTCCCGAAGGGCTGTCCGCATGGTTTTCTACCTGCATTCTTCCAGCTGTGCTCTCAGTTCTAACCTGGGCCTCTCCAAGGCCACAGACGGCTCAGAGCTTTGCTGCCTCCACATAGCGAAGGGGTAGGGGGTCCCTTCTAGGCGGCAGAAGGCTGTGGACCTGGCTGTCTGCCGGCAGCTCTGCCACAAGCGTCGGGAGCCTACTAGATTTATCGTTGTTGGTCTTCCTCACAGATCTTTGATGTGGGTGAGAATCTGACGGTCCCCGACGAGTTCACGGTGGAGGAGAGGCAGACGGGGATGTGGTGGAGACACCTGGTGGCTGGCGGTGGGGCGGGGGCTGTATCGAGAACCTGCACGGCCCCCCTGGACAGACTCAAGGTGCTCATGCAGGTACGCAGGAAAACAGGCCCCAAGCCACCTGGTTTCCACCTTGGGTTTCTTTGGTGGGTTGGTTTCCCCTCCCTTATCTGGGGCCCTGCTTTGGGCCCATACTTTCCTAACCCAGTAAATCAGATTGGAATTATTGCTCAGACAAGGATGACATTAGATCTTGGCCTAGGTGGCCTTTTGCACATTAGATCCTGGCCTAGGTGGCCTGATCTAATTTTATCTGAGGCCCTTAAGCCAGGAGTCACATTACAGGGCCATACTGGAGGCAGATGACCCCAGTGAGAACTGGGGTGTGGCAGGAACCTGTTTCCTTAGGCGCATCTTACATAGGCCACCACGTGGGGGGGCAGTGCGAACAGATCCTCACCTGGCCTGGACACCATTCCCTTGGCTGGGCACCCGGCTCCACGTCCACAGGGCAGGTTCAGCTCATGCTGAACCCAAGTCAGGAGCAAGGTTGTGAAATCGAGCTGCCTGAGGACACACCAGTGGACTCCAGTGTCTTTTGGACAGTGGCCGGTCACCCCCTTGCCCCCTGACTTGCGTTCTGGCACTTTTCGTGCCAGGAACCCTGCTCAGAAAAGGTGTCATCCTTTCCTTACCCCCTCAGCGCCTCCTGGGCCTGCCTCGGTTTGAGGTCTATGGATGGAAGAATGAGAACTCCCTTCTGGTGCTGAATCAGGGAGGCGAGTGGTTCAGGGAGAGGAGCCCTGGGCCTGGGACCCGACCCGGGGTCCCACTGTCCCAGCTGGGTGACCTCAGGCGAGTCACTTCAGCCCCAGGACTTCTACTGCTCTGGAAACTAAGGGGTTCGAACAAATTGCCTCATCAGTGTGTTTTTCTTAGCCAGATCCCCAGGAATGCTGTAGAGATTAAAAGCTGTCCTTGGGTGAAATGACAAAATGCCAGGGAGGGGCTTTAAATTAATGGGGGTGGGGGAGGGGGTGGGGGGCATCAGTTGGCTGGTTTGATGATGGTTGAAGCTCATTATGGGTTCATGGAAGCTCGTTATGTAATCCTCTATACTTTTATATATGTTTGAAAATTTTCCATAATTAAAAAGCTCAATTTTTTTTTTTAATTTATTTTTTGGCTGCGTTGGGTCTTCGTTGCTGCGCGCGGGCTTTCTCTAGTTGCAGTGAGCGGGGGCTACTCTTCGTTGCAGTGCGTGGGCTTCTCATTGCGGTGGCTTCTCTTGTTGCGGAGCCCGTGCTCTAGGCGTGCGGGCTTCAGTAGTTGTAGCACACAGGCTCAGTAGTTGTGGCTCACGGGCTTAGTTGCTCCGCGGCATGTGGGATCTTCCCGGACCAGGGCTGGAACCCATGTCCCCTGCCTTGGCCACTAGGGAAGTCCCAAAAGCTCAACTTTTTTTAAAGTAGTCCTTGTGGAGGTGTTTAGCATGGGGTTGGCACCAGCAGGTGCACAGCAGAATCTAGTGGGACCTAGAGCAGCCACGTTAGACTCTCAGGGTACCGAGCTGGCCTCAGAGTGCCACGAGGGCGGAGCCTGCCTGCCGTTGATCTTGGCTCTTTGTCAGGCAACGGTGGCCCTGTGGCCGCTGAGCTCCTTCTGACCGCTTGTCCTTCCCCCCGCCCAGGTCCACGCCTCCCGCAGCAACAACATGTGCATCGTGGGTGGCTTCACCCAGATGATTCGAGAAGGAGGGGCCAAATCACTCTGGCGCGGCAATGGCATCAACGTCCTCAAAATTGCCCCCGAGTCGGCCATCAAGTTCATGGCCTATGAACAGGTGAGGACCCCGCGCCCCAGGGAGAGTCGCCCATCAGCAGCTGCCCCCTGAGCTCCCCTGGAATGAGGCCCCTGCCCTGTTGGTTCCCTGGGGCCTGGGACCAGTCCTTGTACCTGAGGGACAGCAGGTCTTGGCTAAAGCTGACAGGCTCCGGGAGGAAGGGCAGGGCAGGAGCAGGTATGCTGGTCTCTGGGAGGGGTATCAGTCTGTTTGCTCCCTGTTCCAGATCAAGCGTCTCGTTGGGAGTGACCAGGAGACTCTGAGGATTCACGAGAGGCTTGTGGCAGGGTCCTTGGCAGGGGCCATTGCCCAGAGCAGCATCTACCCGATGGAGGTGAGGGCCACGTTGGTCCTGGGGCGGGCAGTGTGCGTGGAGGTGAGGGTGCGGAGTGGCCTGGGCTCACACTTCCGTCACTTCCGTTGGGCTCTGCAGGTCCTGAAGACCCGGATGGCCCTGCGCAAAACAGGCCAGTACTCGGGCATGCTGGACTGCGCCAGGAAGATCCTGGCCAGAGAGGGCGTGGCCGCCTTCTACAAAGGCTATGTTCCCAACATGCTAGGGATCATCCCCTACGCTGGGATAGACCTGGCCGTCTACGAGGTGAGGCCCTAGAGGACTCAGGCCCCTTGAGCAGCAGGAGAGATTCAGAAACCCCCTCCTGGCCATGTGTCACCCCTCCACCCCCCTTTGTCTCCTTCCAGACTCACCTGTCCATTGCAGGGGTGTCCTGTCACACTGCCTGCCCCTGGCAGCCCCCAGGTTCTGTACCCCCAGGGGCTTGGCAGGCAGATCTACAGAGCACGATGCCCTGGGGGCTTGCTGGGCCCCCAGCAGACTCCGGAGCACAGGAGTCCGGCTCTCGGGGGAGGGAAGGGAGGGGCTGCCCCTGCGGCATCCCCATCCTATCCAGAAATCCCCAGTGACAGCAGAAACAAAGGTCAGGCAGGCCAGGAGCCCAGCCAGCCCCAGGCCGGCCCAGGCCAAGTGAATCAGGTTACAGTGGCCTCGCGGATCCCATGTGATGGGGCAACGCCTCCTGTGTGGATCCGGTAACTGTCCCTTCAGCGCCCCAGTCTCTCACTGCCTCACAAGCCCTTTCTTCCTGGGGCCTGCAGGCCCTTTGGCTCATCCCCCCCCCCCCCCCCCCCGCCCTTTCAGACACTCAAGAATGCCTGGCTGCAGCGCTATGCGGTGAACAGTGCAGACCCCGGCGTGTTTGTGCTCCTGGCCTGTGGCACCATGTCCAGCACCTGTGGCCAGCTGGCCAGCTACCCACTGGCCCTGGTCAGGACCCGGATGCAGGCCCAAGGTAAGGCTGGTCTTAGGCCAGTCAGTCCCCAGGGGCCCGTCTCCCCGGGCAGGTTGGGACGTAGGGAGGGGCCGGCGAAAGGCCCCTGACGGGCGACCTCGCTCCCTGCAGCCTCCATTGAGGGCGCCCCGGAGGTGACCATGAGCAGCCTCTTCAGACAGATCCTGCGGACCGAGGGGGCCTTTGGCCTGTACCGGGGGCTGGCCCCCAACTTCATGAAGGTGATTCCGGCCGTGAGCATCAGCTACGTGGTGTACGAGAACCTGAAGATCACCCTGGGTGTGCAGTCGCGGTGACGGGAGGGAGGCCAGCCTGCCCGCGGACTCGCTGATCCTGGGCCTGCAGCCCCGGGATGTGGAGCCATCTCATTCTGTGAATGTGCCAACACTGAGCTGACTGAAGCCAAGCTGTGAAGACCCTGGGACGCACCTGCAGGGCTGGGGGCAGAGCCGGCCCCCGCTGGGTCTGTCCTGCTGACCCTGGCTGACCCTCGGGTCCATTCCAGGGAAGACCTGTGGGTGTTCCTCAGGGTCCAGGGCTCAGCAGGACACAGGCTCGCGTGCGTGGGGACGGGACACTTCCTGTGCTGCCTGCCGAATAGCTGGGCTGCGAGGCTGGCTTAGTTCTTCCATCGCGTCCTCGCAGCCAGACCATTGGCGCGGGGCGCCTTCGGGCCTGCTGAGTGTCCTCCCCGGGCCCACCTTGCTTCCTTCCTTGCTGCTGTTTTAAATGGTAGGAGGAGGGCCCGCAGCCCACTCCCCCCGCCACGCTGCTCCTCTCCGCCCAGTCCGTGGGGAAGGGTGGCTCTACCTGACCTAAGCCCGACTTCCCAACCGGCAGCGCAGCCACTGGCAGGGAAGAGGGAGGAGTCTGGCTTCTGAGCTGCCCCGCAGACGGGCACCTGGATGCCCGTGTGTGTGACGAGGGCAAGGCTGCCTGGCGTCCTGGCGCATGGCTTCATGGGTCCTGGGACCCAGAGGGCCTCTGCTCCCTGCTGCTGGGGGGCTCGTGGGGCTCCGAGCGGGCCCCGGCCCCTGGCAGGACTGGCACCAGCTCAGAACTAACTCCCTGTCCCTTCCCGCCGGCATGAGGGCAGTGGTTTCTGCCCTGAGTCTGCACGCCCTGGTGAGAGAAGGAAAAGGTGTTCAAGGCCTTCATTATGTATTGTTGGAAAAAGGGCTTTGTTCAGAAAGACAAGCCGGACAAATGTACAAGTTCTGCTCTTCCAGGGAGAAGACAAAGAGAGCCAGTGGCTCAGCCGACCGCGTTAAAGTCTGTTTCTGACGCCCCGGGGATTCGTGTCCAATCCCAGCTGGGGCAAAGTGGGACCAGCCTCACATTCCACTGATGCAACGTATCACACTGCTTGGAGCCTATTTATTTTGTATTTATTTGAACAGAGTTATGTCCTAACTATTTTTATAGATGTGTTTAATTAATAGCCCGTCATTTTCAAGTTCATTTTTTATTCATATTTATGTCCCTGGTTGACTGCACCTTCCCAACACCTGTGAGGTGGGGTGGGAAGAGGAAGGAGGGGGCCGTGGCAGTGACCCTTCTCGCTGCTGCACCATGTCTGTCCAAAGAAATTTCTTTCGGAACTGGCGACAGAAGAAAGGCAAGAAGGCAGAAGGGCCCTGATCACAGAGAGACGGTCCTTCGGCGGGTCAGGGCAGGGCCAGCACCTAGGAAGCCTTAGGATCTGAGGGTTTGATCAGGGGCCAGGAAGAGTGGGGGAAATCTCAACCCTATTCAGGATGGAAGTCCAAATCATTTCTTAGACTGGGAGGGATTTCTTTATTCACCCTTTTTGAAAGACAAGGCAGTGAGGTGCCTATCACTGTGAGTTTGGGGTGGGGGCCAGAGGAGAGGGCGGCCGGCTCCCCACCCGTACCTGTGAAGCGGGCTCCCTCTGTCCTGGGCCCCCCGCTACCCCTGCTCAGTAATGCTGGTCAGCGTGCAACTGCACAGCCACACTTCCATTCACCAGAACGGCCTGATGAGGACAATTTAAATAGGATGCAAAGATCAATGCAAGATTTATTGTTAAATATAAATAGAGTTATAACTGGAATTGGTGACAAAGCAAATTAAGAAAGAATTGGAATTTGTCATTTAAAACAGCCTTCTAATAAAGTTGTTTCAGAGCTGATGATGGAGCCATGGTCTTCCTGACCTGGGCTTGGGTGGCATGGGGCTGTTTACGTGTTAGAATACAAATCCCTTTTTCTCATGAGAGAACATGAGAAAGCTACCCCTCAGAGTAGCTACCCGCTCTGGGCTTCTGGAGGCAGCCCCTCTTTAGAATGGATGTTCATTGTATTTGGGGCGCTCTGACAGGTCTCCAGTGCCCCAGGAGATAGTGGGTCTGGTCCTTCCTCAGCCCTCACCTGATTCAGCCCATGTCCAGCCGAGCTGATCCCTTGTCTCCTGCTTGAAGCACCTCCAGACACCACTGTGCCTCTCTTCACTTCACTGGCTGCCCCTCCCCAGCCTCAGATTTGGTTCCTGCCCATCCTTCTGACGTAGAGATGCCGGAGGGCCCCCCCCGGACGTTCTTTATTCGCTTTCTGGGAACAGGGAATGTGTCTGCAGTTGTACCTCTAGCAGTGCCCAGTGCACAGAGAGCTCAATGGAGTGTTCATTAAATAACTCGACACCCCCGTCCCCATCCCCCCACTGACAGCCCTTGGAGCCACTGGCTGGTGGGGCACTGTAGGAAGCAGCCTGGGGAACGTGCCAGGGGGCTCTGGCATTCAGAGGCTGTAGGGAGACACAGAAGTGTGCCCTTGCGTGAAACACATATACCACTTGTGCTGGGTTGAACAGTGTCTCCCCAAAATTCTTGTCCACTGGGAAGCTCAGACGTTGCTTGATTTGGAAGCAGGGTTTTTGCAGATGTAATCAAGTCAAGATGGGGTCATCCTGGGTGAGGGTGGGCCCTAAGTCCAATGACTGGTGTCTTTATAAAAGAGGGAAATCTGGACAGGCAAGAGAGCGCCACGCAGGGAGAAGGCCACGTGAGGACAGAGGCAGAGGTTGGAGTGATGCATCGACATGTCAGAAAATGCCAAGGATTGGGACTTCCCTGGTGGTCCAGTGGTTAAGACTCCATGCTTCCACTGCAGGGGGTGCGGGTTCGAGCCCTGGTCAGGGAACTAAGACCCCGCAAGCCTCGGGTGCGGCCAAAAAAAATAGGGTTGCAGGCAGCCACCTGAAGCGAGGGGAGAGGCAGGAACGATTTCTCCCTCAGACCCTCCAGAAGGAACCAACCCTGCTGGCACCTGGATTTCTGGCTTCTGGCCTCCTGAACTGTGAGAGAATTCATTTCTATTGTTTTCGGCTATCCAAGTTCATGGTGATTTGTTATGGCAGCCATAGGAAACAAATATGCCACTTGCGTCAGCTTGTTACCAGGGTAACAGGCATAAACCATTTCCCAACCATTGGTTGGGTCTTGTCAAGTTGGTCGTCCCTGCCCCACCCCCGCCCGCCCCCGCCCCCATCCAGGCTTCTCCTTGGGACGGTGGCCGGGTCCCAGGTTCCCAGGTCCTCAGTTCTTTCCAGCTGGGAGTGGGGCTTCTCCAGCACAGAAGTTAATTTGGGGAGGTGCTCTGAGGTGGGTGACACTTGATGTGTCACCAAGCCAACCTCCCTCCTTTGTTCCTTCATCCCTCCTTCCAGTCTTTAATTGAATGTCACTTTCTTACAGAGGCTGTCGCTGGCCACCCTGCTTCCTATGAAAGCCCTGTTCCACGCCGTTTGTTCTTCTCCCTTGCACTTCTCCCCGCTAACTAGAGGGTGGGCGTACCGGCTGGCTTTCTCACTGCTGTTCCCAGTAGGTGCCCGGCACCCACTACATGCTTAATGAATAGTTACTAATCGGATAAAACCCATCCAAATGTTCTATGGTGTGGGAAGCACAACTATACCCCCTCCCAAAGACAGCCACGTCGTAACCCCCACCACCTGTGAATTAGGTGGCATGGCAAAGGCTAATTAAGGTCACAGATGGAATTAAGGTGCTGACCTTAAAATAGGGAGAGTAGCCTGGATTATCCAGGGGGATCCAATGGAGTCACAAGATCCTGCCACGTGGGAGACAGAGGCAGGGAGAGAGGCGGGGAGGCGGGCGAGGACTCAGCCCGAGGTCGCTGGCTTTGAAGATGGAGGAAGGAGGCCCGAGTCAAGGAATGCTGCGGCTTCTAGAAACTGGAAGAGGCAAGGACCAAGTCCTGGAGAGCCTGCGGAAGGAACGCTCCCCTGCTAACAACCCTGATTTTAGCCCAGCGAGACGCATTTCAGACCTCCGTCCTACCTCCAGACGAGCCTGGGAGGGCTGCTGGAAAGTTGAAATGAGATAGGAAACGGAAATGGCTGGTCCTTAATAAAGAGTTTTATCTCGCAGCTCCCCTGCCCCATCCTGGATTCCAAACTCACAGAGTGATTTCCCCTAAATGCTTTTCATTCCAGTCCCCCCTCCCTCCTTCCCGGGGTGAGGAGGCCGGGGATTTCTGGCATGGGATGGGGGTGGGGGCAGCTCCCACCGTGGGATCTGGCCCATCCTCTTCGTGCTTCCTTTCTGAAGCCAGACCTTCTCATCTCTCAGTCATGGGAGCGCCATCGCTGCGCGCCAGCTGGGGCTCTGCAAACACAGGGCACAAGTGCTGCTGCCGCCATGTCCCCATTTTACAGAGGCAGAAACTAAGACTCCAGGAGGGGAAGGGACTTGCCCAGGGCCCCACCGTGAGCAGGTGACGCGGCCTCGAAGGCAGGTCAGAGGACCCCACTCCCGCTGCATGCTTGGGGGGTGAAGATGCCATGGGCTCTGCTGGGGCCCCTGCCCCCAGAGCAGGCCCGGCGGCCTGGAACCACGCCACGACCCACCTGCAGGGACCTTCACTGAGGGGCAGGTGCTCCTTGCCTCACCTCAGGTAGGTGACACCTGGCGTCTGGCTGCTCTCCTGGCCAGGAGGCCACAGAGAGCTGGAGAAAAGTGGGGCAGGCCTGTGCTTGAATCCTGGCACCTGGCGGCGTGATCCTGGGCAAATCTCATGCCTCTCTGAGCCTCAGTTTCCTCACGAGCAAGATGGGCACAATATTTGCCTTACAGCTCAGAGCTGGAGGGACTCCTCCGGTTCATACAAAGGGCAAATGTTGGGAATTCCCTGGCGGTCCAGTGGTTAGGACTTCTCACTCTCAATGCTGAGGGCCCGGGTTCGATCCCTGTTCAGGGAACTAAGATCCCACAAGCCATAGCGTCCCCCCACCCCCCAGAAAAGGGCACATGTTGAGCCGGGATTCAAACCACTTTTGCTGACTCTGAAGCCCTGTTCTCAACCTCAGATCTGGCCAGGCTGTCCCCAGTCCGCATCTTGCTGGTCTGGGCAGGTTGGAATGTAGGGGAAGGGTGAGAAGAGGAACAGCCTGCCTGCCGGGCCCCTCTGCCCAGGCGTGGACCTTGGTCCCTGCCCTCCAGGGCCAAGAAGCAAGAGCAGACCAGCGAGTCCCAGTTACAGTGGCTGGAGAGGCTGGCCAGTGCTGGGTGGGAAGGCCAGCAGGAGGGGAGTGATGCAGGAGTGCAGGAAGGAAACAAGAAGGCCAGAGGCCCACCCCAGCCCCCAGGGGCCAGGCAAGCCTAGGCCTCTCCTGCTGTCAGCATCCCATAACACAGAGGCTGGCGGGGGAGCGGCACAAAGGAACAGTCTCTTCGGGCCATTTGCTATCTCCGCTCAGCACGGTCCCTGTGGCCGAGGACCAAACATTATCTCCCCACGGCAGTTGTGAAAGCCCCATGAGCTGGCTCCACCCACACCTGCCAGGGTTGGGGGTCCCCTGCTGCACCAAAGAGCCCAACCCCTGCCCCTCATTTTAGGGAGGAGGAAACTGACACAGGGCAAGGGACTTGCCCCCAGGTCACCTGGCTCCCTGTAGCCGCTTCTCTTCCCTGACTACACTGGTCTGTACCATTTGTATTAGTGTCCTACGGCTGCTGCTACAAATCATCACAAACGTGGCATCTTAAAACAACACAAAAGCAGGACTTCCCTGGTAGTCCAGTGGTTAAGACTCCGTGCTTCCATTGCAGGGGAAACAGTTTCGATCCCTGGTCAGGGAACTAAGATCCCGCATGCTGCGTGGCACAGCGAAAAACACACACAGACACACACACACACACACACACAGACACACACACACACACACACACACAATTTATTCCTTTACAGTTCTAGAGGCCAGAAATCCAAAATCAATCTCACCTGAGCCGAAATCAAGGTGTCCCACAGGGCTGGTTCCTTTCAGAAGCTCTCAAGGAGAATTCATTTCCTTGCCTCTTCTGGCTTCTGGAGGCTGGCTGCTTTCCTTGGCTCTCGACCTCTTCCTGGCGTCATTCCAACCTCTCACTTCTGTCCTCACATCTCCTCTTCTTTAGTCAAACCTCCCTCAGCCTCCCTCTTATAAAGAGACTGTGATTACATTTAGGGCTCATCTGGATAATCCAGGAAAATCTCTCAATCTCAAAATCATTAATTTAATCACACCTACAGAGTGTCTTTACCACATAAGGTAACGTTCCCAGGTTCCAGGGATTAGGACCTGGATATATTTGGGGACCATTATTCAGCCCACACCACACCATCCCCCCACTACCACGTCTGTTCCCCATTAGACACTTCTGCCCGTCCACATCCTTCCCATTGGACTGGTTAAAAAAATTAGGGAAGAGTCATCCAGTGGAGCATGGCATACTGTGGAACAGTCATTAGAAATGGTGAGGGAGAACAGTTACTGATCTGGAATGTGATTCAGGAGCTACTGTGTGATCTGAATTTTTATTTCAAAAAATATGTATCTAGAGAGAGAGAAGTAATGTGACATTGTGATTAAGATCATCGACTCTGGAGCCAGGAGATCTGGGTTCAAATCCTGCCTGTGCCATTTACTGTGTGACACCAGGCAATTCACTTAACCTTTCTGATGCCTCAGCTTCCTCATCTGTAAAATGGGAATATTTGTACTTACTTCATAGGGATGTTGAAAGGATTAAATGAGGTAATATGTGTAAAGTGCTTAAAATGGTGCTTGCCACAAAATAGGCCCCATTTAACTGTTAGACATAAATATTGTACATAAAATATAAATTATATATATATATTTTTATGTGTGTATATATATATATACACACACACACACACATACACACTATATGCAGATACATAAAAAATAACTAGAAAGCTATTCTCCAAAAAAAAAAATTTTTTTTTTTTTTTGGCTACACCGCGCACCTTGTGGGATCTTAGTTCCCCGACCAGGGATCGAACCTGTGCCCCCTGCACTGAGAGCACGGAGTCTTAACCACTGGACAGCCAGGGAAGTCTCAAAACTTTTTAAATTTTTGATATTTAAATTTTTAAATCTCAGTGATGGGTCTGTGAATAATTGGTATCTTTTTGCTTATCCACAAGCTCTATTTATGCACAATGAACAATTACTTGCATAATCAAAATGAAAATTTTAAATTTAATAATCTAACGAAAATAGTGAACCAGAATCCTAATCCTTAAAGCCCCTGCTGTGGCTTGCTCTCCTGAGGGAGCCCTCCCTGACTCCCAGGGAGGAGGGATCTCGCCATTCTCACGGCTCTCTTCCCTTCTTACTTCCTGGAGCACTTGGCCGCGAACTCCAGGAGCCCAGCAGGAAACAGCAGGGAGTGTGTTCTGAGAAGAGACAGTAGACCCCACCGGCTGCAGAAAAACACCCCTCACACATCAACAATGCACATCAACTTTGTGCAACCTTCCCATCCCTGATTTCGACAACCCCATGAAGGGTAACTGACCTCCGAGAGCTTGCCCATGGATGGGAAAGGATGGGGCTTGCCCAAGGTCACAGCAAACAATTGCAGAGTTCCCACTTCAGGCCTTCTGCTGCTACCAATGCCCACAGGCACAAGCCATGACCTAAGCATTACCAAGATGGGGCAAGGGTTCCTAGCTTGCGGCCTTTCCCCCTGAAAGGTGTGACTTTTCCTACCTACCCATCTTCAGCACTTTGCATGCTAAACCCATTTTACAGATGGGTAGATAGAGTCCCTGGAAAATGAAGATGGCCCAAAGGTGCGATCCCAGAGTTGGCCACAAGGTGGCAGCACCAGGTCTTGTGGCCATCCCCTACAGGGCTTTTGCATCCTCTACCGCCCTCTGCTGGTTATGGGAAAAGGTAACTGAGGCAAGGTTGTCACCTCTGGGGGAAATACTCCATGACAGAAGCAGGACTCAGTGCCCCGTGGTGGCCTTGCGTTGACTGGCCATTCTCCAGCCCGTCACAGGGAATGGGTCTAGTTAGCACAGTCCTTTTCATCAAGGTGACTTTTCATCAAGGTGACCATTTAGTGGAGGTGGGTGAGGAGGGTGTGGGCAGGCTCCTCTCTGCCTGCTGCAGCCCCAGGGATAAAGCCCCAGTCAGGAGTGAGGCCCCTATCCCCGGCATGGCTCTGCCATTAACCATATCCTCCTCTGAGAAATGCAAAGACAGAAGAAAACATCTCTGTGAAAACAAGGAGAGGGGTGGTGATGAGTAGCTGGGGTCTGGCCTGCCCCTGGCACCTCCTTAGCCAGACCAGGCCTCAAGAGGAAGACATGATCACTGGATTTAGCAGGGAGCAGAAAGGGCAGGGAGCACAGGGTGGGGCTGTGGGACGTGAGACCCTCCCCAGGCCACGGTGCCATGGACTGAAGGTGGACGCCTCATCCAAGCAGGTCACATCAAATGCTCCCTTTGGGGAATTTGGGATTGAGACAGAGAAAGGCGAGTCGGCCTCCTTGAGCAGCTGGAAAAGCACCAAGTAACCCTGGGGGGTGACAAGGAAAAGGCTGTCTGTGAAGAGCAGGCAAAGTGGGGAGGGGGGCAGGGATGCAGCCCCGAGGTGCTCCTGGCCTAGTTCCTGCCCCGCTGAGGGAGGCTCTGGGGTCCACAGGCCAACGCAGGTCCTTGGAGCAAAGGCGCCTTGGGACTTAAAGGCCGATCAATGAAGGGGGAACTGCATCCTGGACACAGCGGTGACTCGGGAGACCTCAACACCTGTTGGCCCCATGGAGGCAGCTTCCACGGCTCCTCAACCCACAGACTGGTGTGGCCTCAGGCCTCAGCTTCTCTCCTTCCTCCCAGAGGAAGGAGCACTCTGCAGCCATGAAGACCCAGCCAGTGTGACACGGTGACAAGGACAGATGCTCGCCATGGGAACAAAAACAAGCAGGTGGCAGACAGCCCTGCAGAAGCTGAGGCCACTGCTCCCAAAATGACACTGTCTGCCTCCAGAGTGCTTGTCGCTTCTACCTTATTTGAATGTTTGCTAATACAAAAACCATGAATTTTTTTTTTTTTGGCCACGCCGTGCAACTTGTGAGATCTTAGTTCCCCGACCAGGAACCGAACCCGTGCCCCCTGCATTAGGAGCACGGAGTCTTAACCACTGGACTGCCAGGGAAGTCCCCAAAGACCATGAATTGTTTTTATGTTTTAAAAAAATTAACAGGGCTTCCCTGGTGGCACAGTGGTTAAGAATCCGCCTGCCAATGCAGGGGACACGGGTTTGAGCCCTGGTCCGGGAAGATCCCACATGCCACAGAACAACTAAGCCCGTGCACCACAACTACTGAGCCTGCGCTCTAGAGCCCGCGAGCCACAACTACTGAGCCCGCGTGCCACAACTACTGAACCCCGCGGGCCTAGAGTCCATGCTCTGCAACAAGAGAAGCCACCGCAATGAGAAGCCTGTGCATCACAACGAAGAGTGGTCCCCGCTCGCCGCAACTAGAGAAAAGCCCGCGCGCAGCAACGAAGACCCAACGCAGCCAAAAACAAATAGATAAAATAATTTTTTTAAAAAAAAATAAACAAAGAAAAAATTTAAACTCTCCTGAGAGGGTTGCCCAGTCACTGCACAGTAGGGAGGGCCCGGGAAGTAGAATTCAGCTCACTGGCTGCCTGTCGGGCCTCTGCAGGGCCACCTCAGCAGACCAGTGTGCCCCTCATCTGCTGAAACTAGGGGAACAGGGACCCCACAGCCCTGCCTCGTTCCCAGAACCGCTTCTCTCTATAGCCCCCTGTCCCAGCGTCCCCCCCCCCCCCCCCCCACCCCGAAGCGCCAGGCCTGGGATTTGAAGCCCTGGGTGGCTGTGTGCTGCCAGAGGGGCCCCTGGAAGGCACTGTGTCCTCTGCACCCTCGTCTCCTGGTCTCCAGAGCAAGACTGGAACAACCCCGGCCCCTGCTGCACCAGGCACCCTTCTGCACACGTGACCTGTATCCTGCCATCAAGCCCTCACAACTTCCCCTTGAGGTGGGGACCACCATTGTGCCCACCTGACAGATGAGGAGACTCAGGCCAAGAGGGGTGCCCCTGCCCAGAGCCCCACGGTCAGTGCGGAGCAGAACTGGACCTGCACCCTGGGCCATCTCTGCACCTCCCTGCTGCACATCCCATGGCCGTGTCCCAGGGGTTATGGGACACAAAGCCCACTGAGCCTTTCACCCAGGCCTGACACTTAGTAAGCACTGGACAAACAGTATTTACTGGCTGCGGACCTCCACTATGGTGCCGCCACGCGGGGAGCAGCAAACCTTTTCTTTATTGTGAACATGACACACAGTCCTGGGGACACCTGGGAAGAGCAGGAACCAGGGGGAGCCAGGGATGGGGCCTCCCCAAACCGGACGGTCCCTACTTCCCTTGCCCAGGGCAGGAGCCCAACCTGATTCCCACCCACGGGGTGTAAACACGGCAGCCTTGAGAGCCCCAGAGAAGGCTAAAGAGCAGGGAGGGCCAGGAGGGGGTCCAGCTGGTGAGGGAGGTAGCCTTCCATGCCCCGGGGGGGCGGGGGTACATTTGTGAATGGAAACTGAGCCTGGGCTTTGTCCCCCAGCGCCCCAGGGCTCCAGCAGACGTCCAGTGTTAGAAGCGAGGGGGCAGTTAGGGTGGGTGGGCAAGAGGTCGAATGATCCTGTCCCCTGCTGCACTGTATCACAGCATCAGCAGGTGCTGGCCCAGCGGCCCTGGTCCCCCACAGCCGGTGTCTTCCACTGTTCCCTCCCTCCTCCCGGCAGGGATGCTCAGTTCACTGGGGGGCCTCAGCGATGGCCTTCTCCACCCGCAGGTACCAGGGCTGGATGTGAGTGTGACGCATCAGGTCGTCGAAGGCCTCCAGACCCTCCATCACACGCAGCACACCGTACACTGCCTGGGGGGGGGGGGGGGGGTACAGAGGGGGTGTCCATGCCTGCCCTGCCCTCTGCCCGGTGTGTGCCCTGGGCCCATCACCTCCCCTTTCTGGGAGCCCCGTGACCCACTGACGGGCCAATTTTGCACGCAGGGCTTTGAATGAAGTGTGTGGGTTGGCTGTAGGATTCGGGAAGAGCGGACCCCACCACTCGCTCCAAGACCAGAGCCTTGCAATCAATATATTCTACCCTGGCTGTAGGATTGCTTCAAGGATTGGCGTTGAAGTCAGGCCAACAAGACACTGTCCCAGGAATTTTGCTGGGCAGAAGCCTGGAGTACTGGTTTTCCTTAAGCCCTTGACAACCGGTGGAGGCAGATGCCTCTGGGATGGAGGAGCTGTGAGACGTAGGTATTGCCTGCCTGGGCCTCCCCCACCCCAAGGACAGACCCTTTGGTCTGTGCACCCTCTGACACCCCACACTCACCAGATCAGCCAGGTTCGGCCTCTGGCCCCCCATGAAGGGCCGGTCTTTGCCCACAGCTGCCACCCACTTGTTGGCAGCCTCGTAGAGATCCTCACGCACGTCGTCCTGGAGGTGGTGCCTGGGTAGGAGTGGGGGAAGTCCATCAGGGGAACTCCGAAACCTGGCCCAGGTGGGGGGAGCGAGAAGGCCCGGGGGCCAAGGCTACTTTGGGGGGTGGAGCAGGACAAGAGACCCAACCATGGAGAGGGAAACAGAGGAAGGTACAAGGCAGGGACCCAGCTCTGGACTCCCAGGCCAGCCCTGCTTGCCCTGGGCTGGGGGAGGCAATCAGGGGTTCTGGGTTTGAGTCTCAGCTTGGCTAACGCTGGGGACTTGGGGAGGGCAGGCCCCCAGGTGCACGCGCGCATGAGCGCACGCGCACACACGAGCGCACACACGTGTGCACCGTCACCTGCTCTTGAGCCGCTTGCTGATGAAGTACATGGCAGCTGCGCCCATGTACTTGGCCATGGCGCCCTCCACGGTCCCGAAATTGCCCTCCTTGACAATGTAGTCAAAGGAGGCCAAGGCTTCGGTCGGCGTGCGGTACACATTGGGGGAGATGAGGTGCACCAGCCAGTCGTCTGCCCACTGCCGCCACTTCATCTCCTCCCTGCGGGCAAGGGGGGACAGAAGGTGGGCCAGGTAGGCTCCCTGAGCCAGGGCCTGGGAGCTGGGGGAGCAGACGTACTATCTCGACAGCCCAGTGTACGGACGGAAGCAGGAGGTCCGCAGCAGAGTCAGTCACGCCCATGGCTCAGCCCCAGCCCTCGTGGTCTCCCATGCTGCTCCCCGCTCACAGCATCTCGCGCAGCCTGGTCCCCTCTGGGGAAGACTAGCCCCTCCCCACATCCCCAGGGCCGGCCCCGGCCCCACTCACGTCCTGGCCTCCTTCCCACCATACATCCGCTGGGCCTCCTTTTCATCCAGCATGAGCCAGTACTTGTTGCAGAATTCGGTCACCTCCTTGCCCTGGTCGTTCACAGCCTTCATGGGTGGGTAGTAGGTGATGATGTCTTCAAGGGGCTGCCTTTGGGAGATATCCAGAGCCTCACCCTGACTCCCTCTTCCTCCAGGAGACTAAGCCCTCACCTCCTCGGGATGAATATCTACCCCAGCCTGATCCAGCCCCAGGACTGACCCACAAAAGCTTTCCCACCCTCCTGTGGGTGACACAGGAGGCCCTGCAGCAAGAGGGACTTGGGGCAGATACCAGAAGCACTTCCCCAACAGGGGGAGATGCACGGAAGAAGGGGGAGTCTCAGAGTGATGCCCGTGGCCCATCCTGGAAATCTAAGCAGCAGCTCCACCCCACTCCCATGCAGGAACCTAGGGGAGGCCTCCCTGAGATAGGAGACAGGATGAGACGCAGTGCCAGCCTGGGCCTCAGGGGCTCCTTACCCCGACACCAGGTAGGTCTTGAGGGCACTGATGATGACAGAGGAGTCGTTCAGTTGTTGCTGGAGAAAAGGATGGTTTAGATCAAGACTGTGGGGGGCGGGGGTACTGGCTGACTGGCCACTGGCAGGATCACCAGGGGCTCTTAATCCTGACACCCAAGCACTCTGCAGAAGCTGGTCGGGTGGAACCTGGGCATTGTTTGTCTGTCCCTGGAGCTTCACCCCTAAAATCGATGCCCACTGAGCCTTCCCTTCCCCCAGGACCCACTCCCCGCCCTCAGGGAAGCCTGTCCCGAGTAAGGGAGACCCAAGTGTGGCTAATGGGGAGGAGAATGTGGGGAGGACCCAGGATCTGAGCCCTGCCCACTCACCCGCTTGGCCTCCTGGGCACTGAGGGGCCGGGAAGACTCAGAAGCTACCTACTAGGAGCCAAGCCCTACACCCTGGAGAGTATGGTTCTCTGTTGATTAATGAAGCAAACCCAGAGGGGCTAAGTGACTGGCCCCAAGTCACACAGCCAGTGAGTGACAGAGCCCCACCTTGAACCCAGACCACCCTGACTTCAGAAGCCACGTTGTTAAGCTCTGTGGTCCTCTGTCTCCCTTAGACTCACGGGTTCATAGTCCTCAGCCGAGGCCCGGAGAGCCCAAGCTCCTTCCAGGGCTGCAGAGCAGGGCCCAACTCAGGACAAGCCTGGACAATGGGGCGGGGGGAGCTCCCCAAGGCTCACCAAGCTGTCTCCTTCCTGGGCCAACAGGATGGGCACCTTCCTGTAGGAGGAGAACTTGATCTCGGCCCTGCGCACAGGGTTCACCTCCACCACCTGGTAGGGCAGGGCGTGGAAGTCGAGGAAGGCGCGGACCTTGCTGCAGAAGGGACACGTTTTGTACTGGTACAGAGTCAGCTGCAGGCGGCTGGACAGGGAGAGCTGGATGAGGAGCAGAGGAGGGCGCTTCTGAGGCCTGGTGCCCAGGCCACGCCCCCAGGTCCAGGCCCCACCCCCAAGCAAAAGTTTCCCAGGAGAGTTTTCTAGGATGACCTGAGGACTTCAGGAGAAATGGGGGATGGGTGACAGGGAGAAAGGAAGGTAAAGGGAGGTGGGCAGCAGGCTCCTGCAGTGGACAGCCAAGCGCCCATCCAGTGGGCTCCCCAGGTAGAAAGTCTGTTCTGTGTAGGAGGAATCGTCTCATCTCTGTCCAACGCTAGACAGACATCTCTCCTCTCCTTCCTGTCCCAAGGGAACTTCAGACACTGCCAGGTGTGCCCCCCCAGATGCAACTGTTTCAACTTGGGAGTGCCCACCCCGACCCCTTCAAGGGGTGTGGAGGCAGAGCCCAGCGTTTCCGAGCGGGGTCTACCTCAAATCTACAAGAGGGGAGCGCTATATCAGGGCCACTGGCCTGCACAGGGCAGGAGAGCCTCATGTGAGCTTGCAGCATAGTCATGTTTGAAAGCCACAGCTGCAGTACCGCTCCCCCATTGTTCAGAGATGAGAGACTGAGGCTGGGCCATGGAGGTGAGTGGGCAGGGAGACACGGAATTCCACTTCGCATCTACCGTTCCTGTTCCCATGGGTTCAGGAAAGAGGCGCCTGTGGGGGTGTGGAGGGGGGTGCTGGTGCTGTGTACAAAGCATCGCAAGGGCAGCTGGGCCACCACCCGGCTTGGGGGACATACCCTTGTTCCTCCGTTTCTCAGGGCCTGGAGTCTAAGGGTCATCAGTTCCGTAAAAATACTAATAACAGTACTAATAAATACACAACCTCAGGATTTGGAGACAGTGGGAGGGACACGATAAAATGTTTGTAAAGCCATCCACTGTACAAGAGGCTTTCCCTTTTCAGTGATCTCCAAATCTTTCCATCAAAAAGTCTTAAAACACGTAGAAAAACGACTTTGAAACAACGAGAATTCTAGTCAGCAGGCATCAGTAGCGCCCCATTTCACAGATGAGGACGCTGAGGGCTCGAGGGCTTAAAACCAAGTCACTGGTCCAAGGTTAAGAGCGGACGGAGGAGGCGATTCCTGACACCAATGGTTCCCAGAAGTCCCGAAGTTCGGCGCTGGCCCGAACGCCCCTACCCAAGGCTTGGTCCGACCCGGGCTTACCTGCGCGGCTGAGCGGTCGGCACGGAGGTTCTGGGCGCGCAGGTGCCACCGTGCAGTGTGGTACAGCCCCAGGGCTCCTCCCAGGGCCAGCGCCGCCGCCCCCAGGAGCCGTGGGCCCCCCTTGCGGGTGGTGGCTGCGGGGCCCGGGCCTCCCGCCGCCCCGGTTAAGCCGACCCGGCTCTGCGCGGGGAGTCCCAGCGCGGGACGACCGCCCAGCCTCCAGGTCAGAGCGATCCCGCCGGGCCACAGCGCCCGCACAGCGTGGGTCATGTTTGCTCCGCCGGCGCAGCGGGAGGGCGCGAGAAACAAAGATGGCCCAGGCTCAGGCTCCTCTTAAAGGAGCAGGTCTCCGGCGCCCTGCAGGTTGCCGGAGTGACAGTGAGGCCGAGGGGGGAGGGCCAGCTCTGGTGGGACTGGGCGTGAGTCCTCGAAGCCCAGTTCCACACATCCGTCAGAGCCGAAGAAACACATCTAGGGATGTCTGCTAAATGCCCCGGCTTCTAAAGTGTAGATGTAACTGGTCTCGGTGGTGACCCGGAGACGAACGCAGGACCTCGGCCACGTAGCTCGCCATGTGGCCGTCAGCGTCATCCGTAATACGCACCCAATCGAAAGAGAGTGAACCCTTCAGACTATCAGGGAAAGCGTCACGGCATCGGGTCCAGGAGAGTCGCAGAAGCCGCCCAGCCCGACCCACAATGGGTGGGAATCCTCGAATCGGGCTTTTTCTGCCCTCCCGCACCACTGCACCGTTTCTTCTGTGGCCCGAACCATAAAATTTTCCATACACACAGGGGGCCTTAGAAACCACGTGTCTCATATTTATTTCGCCCACCCGAAGGCGCCGAGTCGCCGACCCGCAGGTCCCCAGCGGCAGGATAGGGCGGAGTGGGGATTCCAAGCCCTCCCACCCCTCTGTCGGCCTTGGCCCAAACTGAGGGCCCGAGGCTCAACTACCTAGGCTTCTCGGCGGGCAGCCCCGGGATGGCCCTTCCCGGCGGCCGGGAGATGGGTGGGGCTCGAGGAGCGGATGGGGATCTGAAGGCTGGACAGATTGTGGGCGGGGCGAGGCGGAGTCTGAAGGCCCGGCGGGCACAAAGCTCCTCTCCCGGGATGAGGCGCAAGAGCTGGGCTGCGACAGGGACCAGGCTCTGAGTGGGGCGGGACGTGGGGCGGAGTCTCACAGCGGGTGGGGGCGGGGCCCGGGCGCATTCAGCTGTGGCATTCAGCCCAGCTGGTCCCGAGTTCCAACGATCACCTCCACCTTCCGCCCTGTGCCGGCTTTCTGTGCTACAATCGCTGTGTCCCATCTTCGCGCTGCCCTTGCGGCGCCCGAGCCCACAATGTCGGGCCCCAAAGGGGACCTGGGCATGCCGGTGGAGGCGGGCGCGGAAGGCGAGGACGACGGCTTCGAGGAAGCAGGTGACCCAGGGGGGCTGCTGAAACGACTTTGCTTTCTCTGGGGTGCCCTCCTGAGAAGGGGAATCGGGGCCGGGATAGGGACCGGGAAGGAACCGCAGAGCCCTCCCATCCGCCCGCCCCAGGGTGGTTCCGGAGCAGCAAGCGCCCTCCGGGGGTTTGGGACGAGCACCTGCGAGCGGGTCCCTGGAAACCGCAGCCTTCGAGAACTGTGGGCGACAGGCCCCGTTTTACAGATGGGGAAACTGAGGCCGCTTCAGGTCACTCGCCCTTTGGGATTGGGATTTGCTCCAGACACTTCTTTCAGCCCATGTGGAGATGGAGACTCCTAAGGGGCCGGGGCCGGGAGTGGACCGTCTTGGCTTGGCAGGAGGGGCTATCTGGGTGGGCGTGCCGCCCTGCTGAGTCAGCAACCCCAGGCGCCTTTGCTGGTGTGGCCTGGAGCCCTGGCGAATGTGACTTGCTTACAAAGCGGCCTCTTGCCTACACAGCACTGCAGGGGGTGGGGGTAGGGGGGGAAGGAGAGAGAACCATCAACTCCCTTCTCCCCTTCTGCAGCCTCAGTTTCCCCATCTGTAAAATAACAATAATGGTTAGTGTTTCCTGCAATGAGATCTGTCAGAATTAAATGGGGAAATGAATGGGGAGAGTCTGGAGGCTAGTGAGGCTGGGGTGTTTTAGAGACCCCTATTTTTTGCCCACCTGGCAGCTTGCTCCATCTTTGCCAAATACAGGAAGGAAACCCAATAACCCAATCCTCCACCAAAATACTTGGCAAATTCTCACTTTGTCTTCCTGGCCAAGATTGGGCAGGACGTAAGGGCAGGCCCACGTGTCTTGGCCTGCCAGCCGATGCTCACTGCCCTGAGTCCCTATACGGCCTCTTCTTTAGTTCTTTCCAGGCAGGAACCTTCTGTCTGTGGCTGAGCTGGATGGATCCCTAGGCCCAAGTCTGAGCAAACCCTAGGGGTAGCTGTGCTGTTCCCTGTTGCTATGGGACATCTGGGGACAGGTGGCCAAGACCCAGGGTTCTCACACGGGAGAGAGGACAGAGCCTCTGTCCAGGCATAGCCCAGATCGTGCCAGCCCAGGAGCCCCATTCTAGGCTGTAGCTTCTGTGACCTCCCATTGGTATGTGACCCTACTAGCCAGTCTCTTGGGCACCTGTCCCTCTGTGAGTCCGTGACCTCACCCTCCTTGTTTTCCTTCACCCTCTCTTATGCGGCCCTGCCTCTTTTTTTTTTTTAATAAATGTATTTATTTATTTATTTTTGCTGCATGTGGGCTTTCTCTAGTTATGGCAAGCAGGGGTTAATCTTCCTTGTGGTACACAGGCTACTCATTGCAGTGGCTTCTCTTGTTGCAGATCATGGGCTCTAGGTACGCAGGCTTCAGTAGTTGTGGCTCGCAGGCTCTAGACCACAGGCTCAGTAATTGTGGCACATGTGCTTAGTTGCTCCGCAGCATGTGGGATCTTCCCGGACCAGGGCTCGAACCCGTGTCCCCTGCATTGGCAGGCAGATTCTTAACCACTGCGCCACCAGGGAAGCCCCAGCCCTGCCTCTTAAGAATTGGGTTCTTCAGGGTTCATTCTTGGACCCACTAGGCCCCATACACGTGGCCTCGGCCACCTCTTCCCTACCCTGGTTTCTGTTACCATCTGTGTCGTGAATGCCCAGCCTATGGTTTCAGGTCAACCCTATCCTGGGTTTACAACTGCCTCTGGGTCAGCTGGGATGTTCCACAGGCAGCCCACCCTCATCCTGGCGTAATCACCCAATTGACTATCTTTCCCGCCTAACCATTTTCACCTTTTCTGCTCCTGCCTCCGTCGTCAAGGGAGAACCCAAGAGTCCTGCCAACCGCTTCACCCTCCATGACTGCCCAGCCCCTGCTCTGCCACTCCTCCTGACCCCAGCACTCGCCCCTCTCTAACACCCCAGTGGGTTCTACCCAAATGTCCCACTACCCCTTCATCTCACCCAAAACCTACTGAAGAGATGAATCTCAAAATAATTGTGCTGAATGAAAGAGGCCAGGCAATAAAGCATATGTACTGTTTGGTTCCACTTATATACAACTAGAAAATGCAAACTAATTTATGGTGAGAAAGCAGCCTGGGGGTTGCCTGGGAGTGGGGTAGGGTGTGTGTGATGACGAGGAGCAGGAGGGAAGGGGCATGAGGGGTTTTGGGGGGTGATGAGTATGTTCACTGTCTTGATTGTGGTGGTGGTTCCATGGGTATTTATATATGTCATAACAAATTGCACGAAAACTACAATGAAAGCGTATGTCAAAAGGACTTCAGAGGGCTTCCTTGGTGGCATAGTGATTAAGAATCCGCCTGCCAATGCACAGGTTCGAGCCCTGGTCCGGGAAGATCCCACATGCTGCTGAGCGACTAAGCCCGTGCGCCATAACTACTGAGCCTGCGCTCTAGAGCCCGTGAGCCACAACTACTGTAGCCCGCGAGACACGACTACTGAAGCCCGCGAGCCACAACTACTGAAGCCCGCGCACCTAGAGCCCGTGATCTGCGACAAGAGAAGCCACCGCGATGAGAAGCCCGTGCACTGCAAAGAAGAGTAGCCCCCCACTCACTGCAACTAGAGAAAGCCTGTGCACAGCAACAAAGACCCAATGTAGCCAAAAATAAAATAAAAATAAATTAAAAATAAGTAAATATATATATATGAAACAAAGGACTTCGGAGCTCCAATGGCCAAAGTTGGAACAATTTGATCAACAAAATAAAGTAGTATTGGATTATAACCCAAAGTATACAATAAATATCCATGAGCCCATTCTGATATAAATAAATGATTGAATTAATAAGTAAAGGGGGGAGAAGATACAAATCTCTCGTAGAGAAAAATTCCAAATAATTTGTGTAGACATCCTGCCCTCAAGGAGGTGGAGCAAAACTCTCCCCTCCTTAGGTGTGGGCTGTGCAGAGTGACCTTCTTCCCAAGAGGACAGTGGGGGAAGGGGGAAGAAGGGTAACTGCAATGGAGAAACCTGACAGTCACCCCCCAGCAGGTGACCAAGGTCAACATCAACATTGATCAGTCATATTGACAGTATGTACCCTTGATAGGATGTGATGCAAAAATGGCACTTGACCTCTGCACTCTTTCTCCCCCAAAACCCATAAGCCCAGTCTAACCATGAGGAAAACACCCAACAAATCCCGAGAGGGACATTCTGCACAATACCTGAGCAGTGCTTCTCCAGGCTGTCAAGGTCATCAGAACCAAGGAAAATCTGAGCAACTGTCAAAGCCGAAAGAAACCTAAAGAGACATGACAATGTATGTATATGTGTAGCTGATTCACTTTGTTGTGAAGCAGAAACTAACACACCATTGTAAAGCAGTTATACTCCAGTAAAGATGTTAAAAAAAGAGAGAGACATGACAACTAAATGTAATGTGGGATCTTGGAACAGGAAAAAGGGCATTATGTACAAACCAAGGAAGTCTGAATAAAGCATGGACTTTGGTTAATAAAGTATCATTGATGGTTTGTTAATTGTAACAAATGTATCAAACTAATATAATATGTTAATAATACAGGAAACTGAGTGCAGGGTATATGGGAACTCTTTTCACAATTTTTCTGTAACTAAAACTATTTTAAAATTAAAATTTTTTTTTGAAAAACTTGTCAGATTGTGTACTTTGAACATGCTTAGTTTATATTGCTTGTCTGGTATTTGTGGGAAGGTTTGTTAATGATTGATTCGATTTCTGTCGTGGCTATAGGGCAGCTCAGATTGAATCCATTTGGGTAAATTACAGCTTACTGGGAAATTTCCCATTTCATTACCCGTAACATTTACCTATCCATTTAATGTCTATAGAATCTATAGTTATATCCTTCTTTTACTTCTGTTTATTTGTGCCTTATATCTTTCTGTTTTGAGAAATTTTTCTAAATTTCTATCTAAATTATAAGTCTTTTCCAAGAGTCAACTTTTGGCTTTGATATTCCTATTGTGTCTTTCTAATTCATTAATTTCTTCTCTTAACTTCATTTTCTCCTTCCTTCTGTTTTCTTTGAATTTATTCTGTGGTTTCTTTTATAAATTTTTATTTTGGACGCCTTGCTCATGACTCTGCAGGCTTTCTAGTTATTCTAAAACACACCCTTAAAGCCATGCATGTCCCTTGTTTATTGTGAGCCCAGCAGGGCGTTAAGAGTCTATTTCACGCTAGATCTGGTTGTCTGGTGGAGGGAGGGCCCTTCAGAGTTTCTAGACTGCTGTTCACCAGGATTGCTTTAGTCTTTCAGGAAGGCTCTGAACAAGTGAAATCAATTTTCTTTTCAGAAAGCTTAACTTTAAAAAAAACTAAACTTTTTTTTTAAAGGTTGACCAGGAACGAAGATTATCTAGGAGATTTAGAAACATGACACTTCTAGGAAGATGGGGGATTAGGAATGGATAGGAAATGTGGCAATTTAGGGACAAAAAGGGCAAGCTTAGAAGTTTAGGATTTAGGAGTCAGTAGCTTGTGGCTCACGGGGTCTAGAGCGCAGGCTCAGTAGTTGTGGCGCACGGGCTTAGTTGCTCCATGGCATGTGGGATCTTCCCGGACCGGGGATCGAACCCGTGTACCCCACACTGGCAGATGGATTCTTAACCACTGCGCCACCAGGGAAGTCCCAACAACAGAAATTTAATTCTTACAGTTTTAGAGTCTGTGAAGTCCAAGATTAAGGCACTAGCAGATTCGGTGTCTGGTGGGGGCCCATTTCCGCCCATTTCCTGGTTCACAGACAGCCGTCTTCTCACAGGGTCTGCACATGGTGGAAGGGGCGAGGAGCTCTCTGGGGTCACTTATAAGGACACTAATCCCATTCACGAGGCTCCACTCTCGTGACCTAATTGCCTCCCAAAGGCGCCCCTCCTAATACCATTGCATTGTGGGTTAGGATTTCAACATGAATTCTGGGGGGACACAAACATTCAGTTCGTAGCAGTATCCCAGGACAGGGGGCCCCAGAGGTATGGTTAGAGACCAAGGAACCATGGGTCACTCAATCCTGGCAGACCCAGGTTGGCTCCTAGGGAGAGCACTCGGGCTGCACTGACCCTGGGGGAGGCCAGTGCCCATCTGAGTGTTGAGGGACTCTGGGCCCAGAGGGAGCCCCCATACCTATGCCCTGCATCCTCAGCCTGCCTGTCACACCTCTGTAGAGGGTTCGCACCCCTGAGGTGATTCTGAGAGTCATGAGAAGAGGGAAGGGGGTGGTCCTCCCTCCAGCCCAAGGTCCCCAGAAACTCACACCTCCCCCCGGCCCCTACCTGGTCCCCCTGAGAATTGGACTACAGAGGGGCAGTGGCCAGGCCCAAGGCTTCAATGAGTGTTCTCAGAGTTTTACTCTCCTCTGCTCCCTGCACCAGGCTCCCGGCCCCTCGCCCCACTGTCCACTGGCCCAGGTCGGCCCCTTCTCCTTATGAAAATGGACACACTGCCCCTTTGGAGCCTGACCTTGTCCCCACTGTCACAGTCTTGGTCGTGGCAGGACGGGTGCAGAGCAGGAAGGAGCAGGTCTTGCTGAATGTCAGGGCCACATACCAGGCAGAGGCCTATGGACACAGCTACCCCTGCCCAACTCCCCCGGAGCCCAGCATCCACCCACCGCCAGCTGGATGCCTGGTGCCCCCTGCAGACCCTGCTCAGAGCAGTGGCCTCCAGTCCCCTGGACCCCTTGTAATCATCACAGGCCCTCTTGCCTGCATGGGAGTCCAAGCCCTGGAGTGAAAGGCAGGAGCACCCATCTAAGGGGCATGCATGCATGGGCCGGGCACCCAAGGACCAGAAGCAGGACAAGGGCCTGGCCCCAGACCTCATGCTGCTGCTGCCCGGTAGACCCTAAGGATTTCCCCAGAGGGAGGAATCCAGTGGGTGTCTTGTGGGGGGTGTCAGAAGCAGCTGCCTTTATTTTTCTCTTTTATTCTTTTTTAAAATTAAATTTTTTTTGGCTGCGTTGGGTCTTCTTTGCTGTGCGTGGGCTTTCTCCAGTTGCGGCGAGCGGGGGCTACTCTTCATTGTGGTGCACGGGCTCCTCATTGCGGTGGCTTCTCTTGTTGTGGAGCACGGGCTCGAGGCACGCGGGCTGCAGCAGTTGTGACACGCGGGCTAAGTAGTTGTGGCACACGGGCTTAGTTGCTCCACGGCATGTGGGACCTTCCCGGACTAGGGCTCGAACCCGTGTCCCCTGCATTGGCAGGCGGATTCTTAACCACTGCGCCACCAGGGAAGTCCGCGGCTGCCTTTCTAAGCTTTGCCACAGGTAGGCTTTCTGGTAGGTGGAAAGGGCGGGAATCAGGAGATCCTCGAGTGACCCCTGGCTGAGAGCTGAGCGATGGGGGTTGGAAAGCTGCTTCTGGAAACCTGAGACTCAAGCCAAATCTCTGGAGGAGCAGGCACCTCACACTGAACAGTCCTTCGTTCTTCTGGGTGTTTGGACCCGCAGTGGCCAAGGAGGGCCTATCTGTGGACCCCAAGAGTTGCTGTCGCCACAGCTGGCCTCCTGGGGGCACCTTGCCTGTAGGCTGCTCCCAGGTGTCGCCCTGGCCCCCAGGAGCCTAGTCGCCCCTGCCCCGGGGACCTCCTGCTCAGCCCTTCAAGCAGGGGAGAGAGGGGTGCTTTTGCCCCAAACATCCCAGGCTGGGCTGAACACTGCTCCCAAGCTTCCAGAAACAAGTCCAGGGGGTTAGAGTGGATTCCTGAGATGCAAAAACTGTCAGAGAGCATTTGACTGCCTTCCTGATTGGATTAGACCAGGGATGAGGCCTGGGTCCTTCCATGGGAGTCAGGTCACTGCAGTCCCTGGGGAGCTTCTCCTCTGGGGCCCGTGGAGGGGGAGAGCACCTGCCAGAACAGATTCAGAGCAGCCACAGTTCTCCTGGCTTCTTGCCACAGAGAGCCATGTGTGGATGGTTTTTAAGTTCCTGCCGTTGCTAAAGAGACCCAGAGCAGGACTTGGAAGGTCCAGCCCTGGCTTCTCCCAAGAGGGGACTGGCCCCAAGACTCCTATGTGGCTTGTTGCGGTCTGTGGCTTGTTGTGGCCTCACTCAGGACGTCTGCAGCTCCTAGAGAGACAGTGGGGAAAGCCGGCAGGGGTGGCCTGTAAGACCAGCCCAGGGGCCACAGTGGAAACAAAGAGAGGGGCCAAGGGGAGTCAAACAAGCACCTGGGGTGCCCCACATAGCGCCACGAGTGCAGTGCAGAACTTTCTGAAGCCCTGGAGTCCAGGAACTGCTCCCAGCTCTGGGCTGTGTGAACCTGCAAGTGTCTTCCTTGGCCGGGGGCCCAGTGGGAGGGGGCTGGGCAAGGAACGAGGTCCCCAGGGTCCTGTCCTTGGAGTCGGCCCAAGTCTAAACAGGAGGTCTACACCACGGTCCTCACCCAACCCTCCTAGTACCTAGTTCTGCAGCTTGTGCGAGGTGGGTGTGTGTGTTGAGCTGACCCTTCCCTGAAGCCCAGCTGGACTCTGAAGAGGGTGGGCAGAGCTTTTCACCTTTATCCCCAGCCCACCCTGCAGGACCCTTTCCCTTCCTAAGGCAGACAGCAGCAAGCACCCTCGGCTGATCTGCCGCCCAGCTCCACACAGCCCCAAACCCACCTCTTGTTGGCTGGGATTGGCCTGACCTCTGCTCCAGCCAAGGCCAGGACCATCCTTGGACCCCCACGAGGTATGGCTGGGACACGGCACACTGCTGAGACTCAAATCCCTGGACAGGCCTCGTCCCCTTCACTCCTCCCTTGGCTCCTGGACCAGGCCAATCTCCAGGGCTGGGCCAGGAGAGAAGGCAGAAGGCAGCCAGCTGAGGAAGGGGTGATGAGATGGCTGTCACCAGGTGTGTCAGCTTACGCCAAGACCACACGGAGATAAGGACAGAGAGATAGACAAGGCCAGTGGTTCTGAGACAGGCCTGGAGCCAGCACAGAGAGAATGGGCCCTGCGTGGGTGTGATCAGAAACTCAGAGGTGACGTCCTGTAGAGCCCCCCCCCCCCCGTGTGTGCACCAGCTGCATGGCCTCGCAGGATCTGCCTGCAGCTCTCTTTACAGACGGGGAGACTGATGGAGTGTGTGTGTGGGGGTGGACAGAGATTTGCAAGCACCCGGAGGCATCAGGACTCCAACAGGGGCCCCTGAGCTGGGCAGCTGGGCCGTCTCCCCTCCTGCACCTGGCCCTGGTTTTCACATGCTGCAGACCCGGCCCAAACACCCGTCCCCAATTCATACCAGGGGAGCATTGGCCACCCTGACTTTATTTTATTTTATTTTATTTTTATTTTACTATTTTATTTAATTTTATTTTTGGCCACACTGAGCGGCTTGCCGGGATCTTACTTCCCGGACCAGGGATCGAACCTGGGCCCACAGCAGTGAAAGCGCCAAGTCTTAACCACTGGACCGCCAGGGAATTCCCTCGCCCTGACTTTTTATTTTTTTTGAGATCGCTCAATGTGAGCAAAAATGTGAACAGGTCTTCATATTTATTGCTCATCAACATCAATGGGAAATCTTAAAACACGGAAGAGAACAGGCCACTCCTCCTTCTATCTCATTCAGTTGGTGTTTTTCTTAGGACCCATTCCTTTTTGTTTTTCAGAGTAATCCTGACTTTTTTTTTTTTTTATGGCTGTATTGGGTCTTCGTTGCTGTGCACGGGCTTTCTCTAGTTGCGGTGAGTAGGGGCTACTTTTCGTTGCCGTGCGCGGGTTTCTCATTGCGGTGGCTTCTCTTGTTGCGGAACACAGGCTCTAGGCGCGTGGGCTTCAGTAGTTGTGGCACGCGGGCTCAGTAGTTGTGGCTCACGGGCTCTAGAGCGCAGGCTCAGTAGTTGTAGCGCACAGGCTTAGTTGCTCCGCGGCATGTGGGATGTTCCCGGACCAGGGCTCGAACCCGTGTCCCCTGCCTTGGCAGGCGGATTCTTAACCACTGTGCCACCAGGGAAGTCCCAACCCTGACTTTTAGAATCTAGAATATTCCCTGCAGCGGCTCCTTGGTGATCCAGGGTACTGTCCCTCTCCTACTTAAAATTCTTTGAGCCTCCATCCATGAGTTTCCCCAACGTCTAGGAGTCACCACAGACTCGAGGATACATTTTAAGGTCAAAGAGAATAGCAGGGGTAGAGGCCCTGGGGCTGCGAGCACGGATGAAAGGGGGGGTGGGGGTGGCCACGGGTGCCTGCAGAGGGCCCGGCCTTCGGTGGCAACATCCCTGAAGAGGCTTTGCTCATCTCTACTTCCTGTGCTTTCATCACCCGGAAAGGCCGGCAGGTCAGGGCCTGAGAGGGCAGGGGTCCTGTGGGGGCCTCTCTGCCTCAGTAGGATGCGTCCTACCCACCAGCTCAGGACCCCTCCAAAGCCCCTCCCCTCAGGGCTCGGCACCCCAGAGCCTCGGCTGGGGAAGCTGATTCCCAAGCAGCAGGCAGGCAGAGCCATTGAGGTCCCCGTCAGTCTCATGCGAGGCCAGCGGATCCTCAGTTCAGCCACAGATCAGGCATCCAGACAGCCTTGGCCCTCATGGTAAGCTATCTGGGAGACATTGCCCAGGGCCTGGGACCCACCATTGCCTCCCAAGGACGGCCAGGCCCCCAGTGAGGAAACTGCACCCCTCCAAGGACAAAGCTGGGATCAGCCATGGCAGGGACAATTCTGGGGTCCCACGCCCAGGGCACTGGGCTCCAAGGCTGTGGCCAGAGACAGCAGCTGGCCTCAAGGACCTCTCAAAGACAAGTCCAAGTCCCTGCATTCCCTGTGCCCCAAAGCACTTGGTGTCCAGAGCAGCTGGGTGGATAGCCCACCTTCAGGCCCCAGCCCCCAGCGCCCCTCACCCAGCACAGACGCATGCCCCGTGCTGCCCCCCACAAGCATGGCGCTGGGACCGCAACACCTGCTCTCTGCTTTGCCAAGGGTCTACGCGTGGGGCTCTAATGCCCAGCTTGGGGTCTCATCCCCTGGGCCCACAGCAGGGACCAAGTCCTTTAGGGGTTGGCTAAGGTCCGAGGCATGGAGGAGGGGAGGGGCTCTTCCTTCAGCCTCTGGCCTGGTGTGCGGCCCCCGGGAGGGCCAGGATCTGGGCTCCGAGAGCTCAGGGCACACACCACACTCTCTGTCCTTCCTGGTCAGAAATGTTCCCTCTCAGCTGCCCCACCCTTCCCTGTCCCTTCTGCGAACCAGGCCACAGCACACAGGCTGCCAGGGTGAGCAATGGTCTGTGTTCCTCGGATGTGGGAAGGGGGTCTCACCACACATACCCACCCTGGGCTGGGGCTGAGCAGGGGCCCCTGAAAGTCAGAGATGACAGCTTGTCCTGATCGGGGACCACCAACCATATACAGAGCCAACCAGAATGAAGGGAAGGGGCACAGAGAGAGTGGAGGGAGCCCTTGTGCCTGCCAGACGTGCAGAGCTCTGGGCAATGTCTGCTCCCCACCTTCTGCCCCTGGTCTTGCACAATCCTGACCAGCGGGGAAAGGGGCAGAAATCTTGCCAGGTGTTTCAGCAGGAGTGCTGGCAAATGCCTCAGCCTTCCCGGATATGGCAAAATATGAATGACTCCACCCTGGGAGGGGCCACGAGGCAGGTGGACCATACATAGGGTTGCCCAGGCAGCCTCCGCACTCACTTCCCCCCTCAGCTGCTGTAGGGAACGCCAGCCTGCTCAGCCCTGAAGCCATGCCCCTAGGTCTCCTGTGGCTGGGCCTCAGCCTGCTGGGGGCCCTGCACACCCAAGCCCAGGATTCCACCCCCAACCTGATCCCAGCCCCACCTCTCTTCAGGGTCCCGCTGCAGCCCAACTTCCAGCCTGACCAGGTAAGGGCCCTGGAGGGAGAGCTGCAGGGGTGCCCAGGGAAGAGTGCAGGCAGAGGGGAAGACAGGTGAAGAGTCCTAGCAGACAGGTAAAGGCAGGACGCCCAGGCTTCAGCTTAGCCTGCCCTGGCTCCCCCGACGGAAGCCACGCTCCATTGTCCCACACCGACCCCGAACTTGCTGACAAGAGGATCACCTGGGCAGACCTTCCCAGGTCCAGTCTCTCTCCCATAATTGCTGTAGTCCATGCGTGGTGGGGACACCTTTAGTCCCTCTGCGTGAGGAGGAAACTGAGGCACAGGGAGGCCAGCTGGCCACCCTGCCCAGGGTCGCCCCCTCCCTGCCATCCTCAGGGCTCCCTCCTGGCCTGGCTGCCTCCGGCTCCCACTGCTTCATCAGTGCAGGAACTGAATGCCCAGTCCCAGGCTCTGCTGCTTAGCTACTGGTTCAGGGCCTGGTTCAGGGCCTGGTTCAGGGCAGGGGCCCTAGGGTCATTCGTGGGCTCTGCCTATTACAGCCCCCTGTAGTTCCAGGGGAAGTGGTACATCGTAGGCTTGGCAGGGAATGCATTGAAGAAGGAAAAACAAGGCCAGTTTAAGATGTACGCCACCATCTACGAGCTGAAAGAAGACCGCAGCTACAATGTCACCTCCACCCTGCTCAGGTGAGAGCTGCCACCTCCTTGGCGAAAGTGGGGGAGACCTGAGGGGCTGCTTGAGGGTCTAGCGGCAGACTGATGTCACAGTCAAGGGATGACCGAAGGTGAGAGACAGTCATTCATCCTTCTGCTCAGCACCGGATTCAGATATTTGTTCATTTCTTCCTTCATTAGATCAGCATTTATTGGTCACTTCAGAGCAGACACACAGAGGGTGCTGGGGATGAACACAGTCGTTCAGAAAACAAGACAGAGACAGCCTGGAACCCCCCTGCCCCCCGCCACCCAGGGCTTCATCAAGGGCTTACAGGGAGGTAGCCTCTGGAACTGGGCCTTGAACGAGCCACCTGCCTCAGAAGGAGGCATGAGGCGTCCACGGCAGGGGCTGGTGAGTCAGAGAGAAGCACTCCTTCAGGAAGCATCCATCGTACAGCTCTTCTGAGCAGCAGCTGGGTGGCTTGGCAGGGGGGCAGCCCTCACACTGCCAGGGGCCTCAGGCACCAGCACAGAAGCGATCTGGTGAGGAGTGGGTCTGAGCAGGGTCCCTCTGGGGGTGGTGGAGAGAGAAATGGTAGGGTGCCAAGGTTCGCCCAGCCCCTATGAGTCTCTGGCTCCGGCACCCAGGGGGATTGAGGCTGGAGCATCTGTGGAGCAAGAAGCAGAAGAAGGATGGGTTTGGGGAGATCAGCTCTGGAATACCAGGAGACAGGGTGGGACTCAGGTCAGGGTTGGCCCAGGAGCTAGAGGAGTCCTTGGCAGGGATCAGACTGGAACCTTGGAGGGCAGATCCCCCAGGAGAGGTTACAGACAGGGAAGCAGCAGAGGGTAGATAGGAGCAGGGATAAATGCCTGGGGTTGGGGGTAGGGGGACAGTGTGTAGGGAAGGCCACCGAGGGGAGACAGCCCTAAAGAGGAAAGGACAGTGGGTGCTGGAGGGAGGGTCTGAGCAGGGTCAGATGTCCCAGGGCAGACCAGGCAGTGACAGACAGGGGTAGGCTTAGAGGGGAAGACCCAGGCCCATCTCAGCTGGGTGGGGTAGGGACCGCCTGCTGTGGTGGGGATGGACTGTCTTGGGCTGGGCCAGGCCAGGGGCATCAGAGTCCCACCCCCTCCAGCTACAGCCCTGGCCCCCACCTCGTCCAGCCCAAGGAGTCCAAGCCTGTGTCCACTCCGGTCTCACTCACCCATCTCTCCCTCCCACAGGGACGAGCGCTGTGACCACTGGATCAGAACTTTTGTCCCAAGTTCCCGGCCCGGCCAGTTCACCCTGGGCAATATTAAGGGTGAGTTCTGAATGAGGCGGGCCCTGGGGTTGGGCTTCGGGGGGGGCAGGGTCCTCCAGGAAGGGGCGCAGACCTCCCTGCCCGTCCACACAGATGCTGTTCTGTGGGAGAAGCCCCTGCAGATGGGCCGGGGAGAAAGGAACGGCTCCCTCCTCCCAGCCTGGGCAGGCTGACCCCTCGCCGTCCTCCCCACAGGCTTCCCCGGGGTGCAGAGCTATACCGTGCGAGTGGCGACTACCAACTACAACCAGTTTGCCATAGTGTACTTCAAGAAGGTTTACAAGAACCAGGAGTACTTCAAGACCACCCTCTACGGTGGGTCTTCCCCACTGCCTCGGGGACCCGGCTCCTGGTCACACTGTCAGGGGAGAGGCCCACGCCAACCCAGCCCCCCAAGGTCCTCTGCAGTGTCAGCTTGCAGTCCCTGTGGGCGGCCAGGGAGGGAGGTCCTTCTGCAGACCCTCCATGAGGAAGGGATCAGAGGCCTTGTTCACGCATTCAACGATATTTATGGAGTATTTGCCGGCCACTCACTGGCCATCTGGCCACAGGGAGGACCAAGGAGCTGACCCCTCAACTGAAGGAGAACTTCATCCGCTTCGCCAAATCCCTGGGCCTCACTGATGAGTACATCCTCTTCCCTGTTCCGATCGGTAATGACCAGCTGGGGAGAGGAAGAGGGGATGTGGGGACCACCCAAGCCCGATGCTGCCCCACCAGGGAAAGGGGGAAGGAGGGGCTCGGTCTTCTACTCAGTCACTGGAGCCCCTGGGAGCCACTTTGGGTTCGGGAAGACCCTGCCCCACCCAAGGATCCGTGGGGCACCCGGGGATCTGGGCCCCAAGGGTTCCTCCCTGACAGATGAGAATTTCAGGCCCAGGCCCAAATTCCCCCAGCCTCCCTTCTCCAGGCCACTTCCTCGACACCCCAGGCCCTACCGTCCTAGACCACTTCCTCCTCACACCCCCTCGTCCGGGGCCACCTTCCCCCCGCCTTGAGGCCGGCTCACCACTGACTTGAAAAGTGCCCTTGTCTTCAGGTGGCCTGGACTGGGCAGGGGGCTCCAGCTAGGCCACTCAGGGAGCCACTGGCTCCCCAAAGCTGAAGGGCTGCCAGGGTCAGCAGGTAAACAGGCAGGAGGCCTGGGTGCCCGAGCAGATGTGTGGCTGGGCCTCACCTGCCTCCTCTGCAGAACGGGAGTCCCCCAGGTCTGCTCGTCCTCAGGCCCTTCTCCCAATCCCCTGCCCCAGCCCCCCAGCCCTGAAGGGAACCCCCAGATACGCCTTTGCTGGGCCAGGCTGGGGCCTGGGGTGCCCAGGGGCAGTGCAGGGGTCCCAGTGGGCAGGGGTCATACACACACACACCTGCCCATTCTGACAGACTCTCTCCCCCACAGACAAGTGCATCGATGACCAGTGAGGGTGCAGTGAGTATGGCTGGGGAGGGGGCTGATGGGAGCCAGGGTGCAGGCCTGCCTTTGCCCCCCCCCACCCCCGCCCAGGACTGCTGTTGTCTCTACTTCCCCGTCTCCCTCTCAGGTGCCTCCTGTCTCTCTGCTCCCATCGCCCTCCTGTCAGCCTTTGCCCGGCTTGGTGCCCAGCTGTCCCCACCAGCCCAGACACCGGTGAGAGGAGAGAGTCCAGAGACCCTTCTCATGTCACTGCCCACCAGCTGCTCTCCGAAGCCCCACCTTGCCTGCTAAATAAACACATGCTCCGGTCCCCAATCTGTGCTCCTTGACCCCTGGGCCACCTGCGAGGAGGACAGGCAAAGGATGGGCTCACATTAGCATCACTCCTGGATCCCCCTGTGGTCCTCAGCAAGTGATGGCGGCCACAGAACCCATGGCCAGCTATGACTGGACACTTCCTAGCTCTCCACCCACCCCCACCCCACTCCCAGGCCCATCCCTGCCTTTGAGGGATGCCTGGTCCAACAGAAACACTGATGGGGCCACACCTCATTCCCACACTCGATCACCTGCAGTGGGTGCCACAGCAGAGGCCCAGCCAGGGCCGGAGAGCCGGATGGGGGCTGCGAGGGCTGAGGTGCTGTCACCCCCAACTCACCAGGACTCCTGTGGATGCTGGAAGACAGCAGCCAGGGCAGGAGGGGTGCACAGTGGGTGGGGCAGAGGCATGCCCAGCTTGAGGGTCGCCAGGGGTGGTCCCCTGCCCCTAGGGGGTGGCAGTGTCCATGCTGACCCCATTCAGCATCTCGTCCTCACCCACACCTCTCCTCTATGATGACCTCCAGACCACCAGGGGCAGAGCCGGGGGTGGCAGGGAGGGGAATACGCTACCAGGAATTCAGATTCCAGGAGACTCGAGGGCTCCAGACCTGTACCCTCCGCTTGGCTGGGCCCAGCAAGCCCTTGTTCACCCACAGGCCGCAGCTGGAGCTCCTCCCTGTCTGCACCACACACAGGAACCCCCTCCCTGGCCTCTTCTTCCGTTGCAAGGTTAGAGGTCAGAGAGGGTGGGGTTCTGAAGAAACCCAGGCTTCTCCACCCACAAACTTGCACACCTACCCCTTCACCCTCGGCTGGGGGAAGAGGAGATATTGGAGCTGTGATAATCCTGGATAATCTCTCTATCTCAGAGTCTCAATGTAAGCAAGTCTGCAAAGGCCCCTTTCCCAAATAAGGCACCATTCACTGGTTCCAAGCACCAGGACCCAGATATCTTCGGGGACTGTTATTCAGCCTTCCACACGGGGCTTGCAGAGGGGGTGATGGCACCTCACCATCACCATCACTTGTGAGATGAGGGGTGAGAGGCGAACAGCGATGCCAGAGGCGGGGCAGCACCAAAGCACGCCCCCTCCCCCCATCAGGGCTGGCTGGGGTAGTAGCTGTTTTGTCCTGTGGTCTGCTATGTGGACCTTGACCACAGGAGTGGGGTGGGCAGAGTCCAGGTTCGCTTTGGCTTCTGGGAGCAGAGAAGGGGCCAGCCAGGTAGGGGCCTCACCACCTGTGCCACCCAGCTCTCCATCCTCCCACCCTCACTCAGCCACTTGGGGGATGAGGCTTTGGCTGGGCTCTCCTCTCTTCTCCTCCCGCCTGCCTCCCTCTGCCCACACCGCTAGCCCCAGGGCCTGGGCACACGCTCAGGCCCAGGAGAAAGGCCACTCCTTGAATGCTATGGTGGGGTCCTGCTGGGGGGCTGTGCAGCATCCTGCGGACGCTGCCCAGTTCTCCGTGGAGTCTGACTTTCAACAGGATAAGCTAAGTGACTCTCCTGCCTGGTCCCCACAATGGGACAGGCACCTCGGGGTCGGGGAGGGGGTACTCTTTGGGGCTGCCTTGTCTCCTTGAGAAAGACAGGAGCTGAGCGGGGTCAACACTTGGCATAGGTGTGAGCAGGGCTGAGAAAGGAGGGCTGGCTGATCAGTGAGAGGCCCTCCCTGAGACCCTGGCATTTCACTAAGACAGAAGAGCCCTGTGTCCTCTGATGGAAGCAGAAACACCTGTGTCTGTGTAGCACACAATTGCGCAGAGACACGGCAGAAACACAGGTCACATATGTGGACATGCTGACACAATCCAAACACATTTATCCCTACAAGCATAGGACACCCAAAGAAAAGCACAGGTACATGTTTTCTCCCAGTTATGAAATCACACCTGAGATCACAGGACCCCACAGACGAGGGGAGAAACACAAAGACTCCCAGGCACACAGGGACGGGCAACAGACCCTCAGAGAGACATACAGGTTCTCAGAAACATGCCGAGGCACGTACAGATACACACCACACAGACATAGCAGTTGGATGCGAGCGCTCATGCACGCAGCCTGCGTGGGGATGCCTGATGCACGTGTCCACCCATCAGAGCGCCTGGCTACCCCCGGGCGCACTCCCATCACCCTCCCGAAGCCAAAGACTCATCCCTTTCCAGGAATGGCCCAGGTGCTGTCTGCCACCTGTTCCATCCATGGGCCTAGTACCTTTTTTTTTTTTTTTTTGGCAGAAAATTTCAACTTTATTTGGCCAATGTGTCCAGTTCCAGGTAGTGGGAAGAAATAATAGAAATATTGTGGTTGCCCCAGGTGGTGGGAAGTAAGTGGATGCCTGGCTGGAGGAGGGCAGCTGGGGGGATGGGAGGAAGGGTACCCACCCATTATAGTCAAGGAGGGTCAGCTGACCTGGGTGAGGGGTTTTCACTGCAATCCTTCCTGCACTGGTTCAGCGTGGGCCTCGCCTCCACTCAACCTGCTTCAAAGAGAAGGTGGGGCTGCCGTTATCCAAGTCAGTGGTGTCTCACGTTCCTCAGTGAAATGGTAAGGCAGCTCCTGGGACAGAGAGGATCCCTTCCCATTGTCATCATCGGGGAACATGGCTCGGTCTGACCGCCACCCAGGGATGGCCTGCTCTCAGGAACTACCAGTGTGAGACCAGTACCAGGCTGCAGCAGCCATGTGGCCTCCTCCAGGAGGCCCAGCTACAGGAGTCCCAGTAAGTGAGCCCCTCTCCCCTGGATATGGGCCTCACTCAGCGGTATCCCTGGCCAAGATCACACCTCTGGTTCCAGCTCAGGAGCGACACTTTCCGGCTGTGTAACTTTGGGCAGGGCCCCCTTCCCCAGCTGGTAAAAAGGATGGGGTATGACGGCAGCTGGGCAGACTATCCCGAAGCCTTCCTTGACTGACAGCCACAAGCTGCACTCTGCTGACCGTGACTCTCAAGTAGGCTGTGAACGGATATCTTCCCTACACACTGGGGGCCTCAGAAACAACTCGTCTCAGATTTCTCCCATGCAGAGGCGCCGGCTAGCTTACCCACAGGTCCCCAGCAGCAGGATGGGGCAGAGTGGGGGGGGCCCAGGCTGCCCTGCCCTTGTGCCGGGTTGCTCGACCTGAGGGCCGAGCCCCCGCCGCCTAAGATTCTCATGGGGTGGCCCAACCCTAAGATTCTCACGGGGTGGTCCAACCCGGCCGCCGGGAGAGGGGCGGGCCCGGGGAACCGGCGGAAGTGGGCGGAGCTCGACTGTGAGGCAGTGTGTGGGCGGGGCTCGAGTGTGGGGGCGGAGTCTCACGGATGGGAGGGGACGGGGTTCTGGCGGCGGGGCAGGGCGGAGCTCTGGCTGCCGAGCTCCGCCTTGGGGGCGGGGTCCCGGCCTACTGGGCGCGTTCTGCCGCGGCGTTCCGCCCTTCCGGCCCCGAGTTCCATCCACCGCCTCCCTCTTCCGCCCCGCGCCGGTTGTCGGCGCGACTGTTGCCGCGATCAGTCGTCGCGCTGCCCTTGCGGCTCCCGAGCCCACAATGTCGGGCCCCAACGGGGACCTGGGCATGCCGGTGGAGGCGGGCGCGGAAGGCGAGGACGACGGCTTCGAGGAAGCAGGTGACCCAGGGGGGCTGCTGAAACGACTTTGCTTTCTCTGGGGTGCCCTCCTGGGAAGGGGAATCGGGGCCGGGATAGGGACCGGGAAGGAACCGCAGAGCCCTCCCATTCCCCCGCCCCAGGGTGGTTCCGGAGCAGCAAGCGCCCTCCGGGGGTTTGGGACGAGCACCTGCGAGCGGGTCCCTGGAAACCGCAGCCTTCGAGAACTGTGGGCGACAGGCCCCGTTTTACAGATGGGGAAACTGAGGCCGCTTCAGGTCACTCGCCCTTTGGGATTGGGATTTGCTCCAGACACTTCTTTCAGCCCATGTGGAGATGGAGACTCCTAAGGGGCCGGGGCCGGGAGTGGACCGTCTTGGCTTGGCAGGAGGGGCTATCTGGGTGGGCGTGCCGCCCTGCTGAGTCAGCAACCCCAGGCACCTTTGCTGGTGTGGCCTGGAGCCCTGGCGAATGTGACTTGCTTACAAAGCGGCCTCTTGCCTACACAGCACTGCAGGGGGTGGGGGTAGGGGGGAAGGAGAGAGAACCATCAGCTCCCTTCTCCCCTTCTGCAGCCTCAGTTTCCCCATCTGTAAAATAACAATAATGGTTAGTGCCTCCCGCATTGAGATGTATCAGGATTAAATGAGAAAGTGAATAGAAAATAGTAGACTTCAGGCATGCAAGTGTTCTGCATGCAAGTGTTCTGTAAGTGGTTATTATTCCCTTTAGTGTAATCAAATTTAGTTTAACTTAGAGGGCAGGACTTAGTAAATGTGGGGTAAGTTTGGAGTCTGCTTTTGGTTTCGTTTTGGGTAACAGCTTTGTTGAGCTATAATTCACACACTGTCCAATTTACGCATTGAAACTGTGCGATGCAGTGGGTTTTAGGATATTCACAGAGTTGTGCAACCGTCACCACAAGTGTTTTAAAGCACCTCATCACTCAAGGTCTGCATTTAATAAAGAGGTAGAGTAAGTGGGGTAAGTGGTGGGCTGCCCGGTTTGCCTGGGGCACTGCTGGTGAACAAAGGCCAGGTGTGGTAATCACGCTGGCAGCTGTGCTGGGGGCATCTGGAAGGGTCTCCCAGGAGTCACACTGAGTGGAAGTTGGCAGATTCACAGGACTTAGGGCATTGGGGAGGAGGGTGTCCCTGATGGAAGGCAAAAACTTGGAACCGGGAGGTACCCGTGACACTTGACACAGACAAAGCCTAGCCCCAGTAGCGGAGAGAGCTGCCTCCCCCGTCTTTCTCCCCACTTGTGTCTCTTGGCCGGAATGTGAAATGTTGATAATCGCGACCATCTACTAAGTGCTTGCTGTGGCCAGACCCTGAGCTCTTGATATATGTATTTGAATCTTCACAGTAGCCCAGTTCTCATTCCCTTTTTCCAGAAAGCCGTAGTAACTTGCTGGGATGGGGCAGAGCTGGGACTGAAACCCAAGTGCCCCTGCTCCCCAAGTCTGAATCTTGGCTCTGCCACCAACCAGCTGGAGGACCCCAGGCAGGTCTCTTCCTTCTTGGGCCTCGGTTTCCCCATTTGTACCACAAGGGAGTTGGACTCCAGGATCCAGCAGAGGCTTTCCAGGACTCTGTCCTCTGTGAGTTAGGACAACTCTGGGCAATGGGTACCCTTCCCCCAGAATGCAGACACATTTGCACCCTTATCCCAGACACTCTCCTCTAGCCTTGGTCGTTCCCACACACCACCAGCCGCTTCCCCTTTGTCCCAAGCTGGCAGCTGAGTGTATCCGAGTCATGCGCTGGCTCACAACTGGGTCCCGCAGTGGGCACAGGCCCAGACCTTGGGTCCTAGCGGACATTGTGTGGCTGAGAGAGGCAGGTCAGGAGTGTCTGTGGAGGAGGGAGTGATGGTTTCTGGTGGAGACCAGGGAAGGATTCTTGGAAGAGAAGGCATTTGGAGCTGGTCCTTGAGCGGCTGAGGCATTCTGGATGGCAGGGGCAGTTAAGGAAAGGCAGAAAGCCTGCAGAGTCAGGCTTCATTCATTCATCCATCCATTCATTCAACAGATGCTTACTGTGTGACACTGAGGGCACTGGGGAAACAGCAGTGAGCACAAGTGAGCACAGTGAACACTCCACCTCTCGCACAGCGCTCACTGTAGTCTGGTGGGGGAGACAGACTAGCACACAGTCACAGCAGCCGAGCCGGAGGTGGGGGCCGTGGAGGTGTGAGAGGGCAAGGGGATCAGGAATAGAGGCCCGATCAGGCTGGAGCATGGGAGGGCTCCCTGTGGCAACATCCACGCTGACACCTGAAGGATGAGTGGGGCTCATCCAGGAGGAGAGGAGGGAAGGAAGACAGAAGGAGGACACAGCACATTCCAGGCGGAGGCCACAGCATGTTCAAGGGGCCTGAGGTGGGCAAAGGCAGGTGTGAGAGAGGAAAGGAAAAGGCAGGGGAGGTGGGGCTAGAGAAGGGGGCAGGGCCTTGGAGTCTGCTAGGAGCTAGGGCAGGGGAGCCAGAAGGGCTGGAGAGGAGGGCCTGCCTGGGGACAGAGGCCGTGACTGCCTGGCTCAGGAGCATGGGCTCTGGCCTCTAGGCAGCTGATGCAGGAAGTAGAGAGGAGACCTGGCACCTGGCAGGAATTCCCGGGCAGGACACTGTCTGGCTAACCTCCCTGTGACCAACCTAACCCTAGAAAAAGCTGTAGGTACACTAAGGTATTTCTCCAAAGCCTTTCCTCCTTTGATATCCAGCCATTTTCCAGTTGGTGACAGTGAGCCTCAGGAAGGAGTAGGGACTTGCCCAAAGCTCTTTAGAGGCAGGCTGGGGGACAGTGGCGGGGGGGGGGGGGGGGGGGGGGGGGTGTGCCTGTGATCCCTGAGGAGATATGGGACCTTGACTCTCTTTCCCCTTCCTCCCAGAATACGCTGCTATCAACTCCATGTTGGACCAGATCAACTCCTGTCTGGACCACCTGGAGGAGAAGAATGACCACCTCCATGCCCGCCTCCAGGAGCTGCTTGAATCCAACCGGCAGACGCGCCTTGAGTTCCAGCAGCAGCTCGGGGAGGCCCCCAGCGATGCCAGCCCCTAGGCTCTGGGAGCCCCTGGCCAGGCTCTGGCCTGAGCACTCACTACCTGGCTTAGATACCTTCTCAAGGGCTGGCCTACAGGTTTTCCGGGGCAGGGGGAGGCGGTGTCTGCCGGCCTAGGCCACTCTTCTGGTACTTCACTTGGCGTACCTAGGCCCACCCCACCTCCCGGCACCCCCTCCTCAGGGCTTCCTCCCCACTGCTGGCCAGGTGTGGGCCAGCGACCCACCCACCTTGCCTGTCTGCCCAACTCCTGGACGCTCCCCACGCTGCCCAGGCCTTGAGCGTCCACATTAAACTGTTCTCCAACACCACTGCGCCTCCTCTCTCCTCTGTATCCCGGGATGAGGACCCCAGTGGCCGCCAGAGGTAAACAGGCCAGTGGAGGCATCCCAGGCATAGATCACACACTGGCTCATAGGCATGGTGGTGGGGCCGGGCTCTTTGGCCTTCTTGTATTTCTGGACACAGAGGTGCAGGTGAGGTCAGGGCTTCCTCCCCACCTGGTGTGCTCCTGGCCAGCGGCTGCTTCCCCAGCCCAGCTGAGACAGCATCAGCCATGCTGTGTGACCCTGTGTGATGTGCTCAGCTTCTCTGGGTTCTAGGGCCTTTCACTAAGACAACCAACACCAGGACATGCTGTGCAATATGTATAAAATAGATAAGAACCTGCTGTGTAAAAGTAAATAAAATTCAAAAAAAATAAAGACATGCTGCGCAACCTTGGGTTCCACCCTCTTTCTCCTGGCCTCAGTCTCTCCAGCTGGCCAATAATAGGGCTGGTCTGGTTATCTTGTCTCTAAGGGTCTTTCCAAATGGGGAAGTGGAACTAAAGAGCCAGCTCAGCCTGGGCCCCACTCACTAATGATTCATCATAAGGTCTCCTGACAAGAAGGGTGGGGTCCCCGCTAATGAACATGAACTTGGAACCAGAGGGCCTGAGCAGTGAGGGCCCCCAGTCCTGCCCTTCAGCTTCCGTAGGGTCCAGCTGGGAGAGGCCAGGACAGGGGGGTCCAGAGTTCAGGCTCGGGGTCAAGTCCTGGCCACTCACCAGATATATGACCTTCAGCCGGCACTTGACCTTGCTAGGCCTCAGTTTCTTCATCTGGGATAATGGGATAATTTGGGGATAACAAGACCTACCTCCTAGGGACACTGTGAAGATTAAATGAGATCTTACTTGAAGGTAGTACTTTCCTAGCCTGGGTACATTATTAAGAGGGAAACTGAGGCTCAGGAGGTGAAACACCCCATAATCCCAGAGTCCCTGGTTAGGGAGCCTGTCTTCAGCTTTCCAGTTCTGCCACCACACTACCCGCAGGGGCTGGGTGCTGACTGAGAGCTAGCTGGGGGCCCCCTTTCCCTGTCCACCCAGACGGAAGTGCTGGTGGGGACTATACAGCCAAACTACCTTCTTTTATTGGATTTTGAGTAAAAACACCAACCATGTCACAGTCTCCACACAGACTCCTAAAAAGCGTAGCAGATCTAGACCCAGACGGGGCAGCTGTGGGCCGCTCCCTCCATCAGGTTTTGAGGCGGCTTGAGCGCCGGGGTAGTGGGTGCTGAGCGGGTTGGGCTGTCACCTTGCTGGGGGTTTTGGCTGTGTCCTGGGTGCTGGGCTGCGTGGGTGTGCGGCCGCCGGAGGTGAACAGAGCAGTCAGGGCGTTTCGGGCGTTGATTGCACACCGGCGGCTCACGGGCCTGGTGGTGGGGCTGGGCTTCTTGGCCTTCTTATATTTCTGGACACAGAGAGTGCAGGTGAGGCCAGGCTTCCTCCCCACCTGGTGTGCTCCTGGCCAGAGGCTGCTTCCCCAGCCCAGTTGAGACAGCGTCAGACATGCTGTGTGACCCTGTGTGATGTGCTCAGCCTCTCTGGGCCAGAGCTCTAGAGCTAACAGCCCAGCCCTCAGCACCCACCAGAACAACTGCAGAGAGACATTGGCCCCAACGTGGCTCTGATTCCCTTTGTGGGCAGAGCCTCTCACTGGGGGCTGTACCCAGGGGCTGAGGCCAAACACAGGAGGGAGGTGGCCACTGGCTGTCCCCATCAGCTAGGACACAGTCTTGACTCCCTGGGCAGGGCAGAGCCGGGAAGGGGGCCTGACTCACCTGCAGGTTCTCAAAGTGGGCCAGGGACTTGCAGTGGGAGAGCTGCGCCCCTGAGTTGCTGTGGTAGAATTTGTGGCAGATGCGGCAGATGTAGCCCATCACGGGCACCAGGAAGTCCACACCTGTGGGACAGCAGGGTCTGTGCACTCACATGCCTCACCAGCCAGGTGTCCCCCCTTCTCTAGGGGCCCATTTGCTACCCCTCCCCACCCTCCAGATGGGAAAAGAAAAGAGGACGAGGGGACAGGATGCCTGGCCAGGATGCTGTGGCTGGGATCTGGGGGGTCGCCTGGAGGCAACCTGAGGGCCGCAGCTCCTGCAGGTGGGGTCAGGGCTGGGGTCTTACCATATGCCGTGTCGGGGCTGTATGTCTCCGAGCCTTTCCACTCCTCTATGGATATATCTCTGGATCTCACCTGGAAACACACACAGGTGTGGGCCTCCATTGGTTCTGGCTTCCCCTAGCCTCCTAAACGCAGGCGGGGACTGGAACCCACCCATGCTCTTCAATCAAGGAACCCCGCCTTGATTTCCAGGAGGTTGTGGGTGGCATGCTCTGAGCCTCTGCACATGCTGATCCTGCCCCCCGAGTGCCTTTCCCAATCTATACTTTCCAGGTTCAGCTCAATCAGTCCCCTCCTCCAGGAAGCCCTCCTGCTCCCACACTGGCCATAATCCATGCCAGGTATGCCCAACACATCACACGTGTCATTTCGCTGAATCCTCATAACAACTTTCTATGGTTTGCCCATTTTACATAAGAGGAAACTGAGTCCCAGGCACATTAACTCACTTGCCCAGGGTCATACAGCGGGTTTATGGAGGTGCAGGGTAGTGAGCCCTGGTGAGCCCCCAGCCCTGGTTACACTCTGCCATGAGCCCCCCGCCAGCTCCCTAATGCTGCAGCAACCACGGTCTTAGGGGGTAGGTTTCAAGTGATCAAAGATCCCTTGTCTCACTGGCTGGACATGAGCCCCTTCCACACAAGGCCACGCCTAGCAGTGCCTTGCAAACAAATCTGGCTTTTAAGAATAACGACCACCCCCTGGGCTGTGACCCTTCCTTACAGTCTGAGTTGGGACTATTCTAAGCAGAGGAACAGGCTTATAGAGGCCAAGGGGCTTGCCCAGGGTCATGCCACTGCTGACCGCTGAGTAGCAAAGCTGGCATCTCCCCCAACCTGCTTAGGGCTGGAGGCCACCCACGCAACCTTCCATCCACAGCCCCGTTATGCACCGCCCCCTGTGGCTGCCCCCTCACCACCCTGGACTGTAACAGACAAGTTCTGTGAGGACAGGGGCCAGAACTTCAACCCCAAGTACCCCTGGTATCCAGCACCAGGGCCTGGCCCAGACAGATGCTCTGGAAACACTTGTTAAACTGCAAAGCTCCTCCAGCTCCTCGCTCATGGGAAGCAGCAGAGCTGGGGTATTTTTGAGCACGGGCTCTGCAGTCTCGCCTCCTGGCATCCAAGTGGGTGAGATTCTGCCAGGAAAGTGCTTGGTACACGCGTGGCATATAGTAAGTGCTCAAAAAATGTTCACTGCTCTCGCCACCATCCTCATCACCTTTCACTGACTTTTCCTGTATGCACCACATAGCTCCCCTCTCCATGCCTTTTTTTTTTTTTTTTGTGGTACACGGGCCTCTCACCGCTGTGGCTCTCCCATTGTGGAGCACAGGCTCCAGACGCGCAGGCTCAGCGGCCATGGCTCACAGGCCCAGCCGCTCCGCGGCATGTGGGATCCTCCCAGACTGGGGCACGAACCCGTGTCCCCTGTATCGGCAGGCGGACTCTCAACCACTGCGCCACCAGGGAAGCCCTCTCCATGCCTTTATGATGCTGTTCTCTTGCCCTAGGATGCCCTTTCTCTTCCACAAGTAAAAACAGCAGCCAGGCTTTGAAGACCTTGCATATTTCACCTGCTACCCTATAGGTGTCATGATGTATATTTACATATCGTCATATTGAATAGAGCTCCTATTGATACTAAATCGTGGCAGGCCTTAGTGCCCAAAGATGCCAGCACAGTGCCTCCTGGCCCTTGGGAGGCGGGGTGAGGTCTCTCCTGGGCTGGGAGTCCAGCCTCCAGCCTCCGTTCCACACCACCTCCCCCCAAGCACCTGCTTGCAGAATTCCTCCTCAACCTCGATCTCTTCTTCATCATCGTCGTCCTCCTCTTCTTCATCGCCCTCAAAGCAGCCCACGGCGTCCACCGTGATGAAGTGGTCCTCATCTTGGCTGGCAATCTCCTTCTCGAGCATCTTCAGCTTCCCAGGGAGTGGGTGAAGGCTCAAGTCAGCTCTGGGCAGCCAGGGTGCGACACCTCATCCTCCCCACACCCCAGAGAACTCCAGTTCCCCCGGACCTGCTATGAATTTGGACTGGAATACACCTCAACTTGCTGTGTGGCCTTGGCCAAGTCTCTACTTCCCTGGGCCCATGTCCTCTGAGGGAGCTGGGGTTACCTCCTTGGCTTTGTCCTTATGCCCCTGGGACTTCACATGTTCCACAAACTTGCGGGGGGTCTTGAAGTAGCGGTTGCAAACAGTGCAGAAAGGCCGCAGGGATTGTTTGGCGATCTGGGGACAGGAAGGCAGGCCAAGTGGGCGGCGGGCAGCATCCCCAGGCGCAGCCAGGCAGGGCCCAGCGAGACCTCGCCTCCCACTTGCAGGCCCGCCACTCCTGTAGTCAGCCGGCTGTGCTGCACAGGACACAGGCAAACACATCCCGTCCCTGTGCTATAAGGAAGGACGGCAGATGGCAACAGAGACAGGGCCGTCGGAAGACAGGGAGAGAGGGCAGGCACCTGAGGACCCCACGAGCCCCGAGGCCGAATGCAGGGTGAGATGGTGCCTTGCCCACGCTGGACAGATGGGGAAACTGAAGCCCAAAGAGGAAAAACGTGACTGACTCGTCATGAGTTACGGCCACGCAGTGACAAAGGCTGATGTTTGCTTTCTGCTCCCAACCTGGGCTCCCTCCTCCCCAGCCCTGGGCTTGGGCGCCTTCACAGCAGGTGGGCCCTCATACCTTGTGGTCCTGCGTCCTCCGGTGCTGGATCAGGTCCCCCATGTAGTAGAGCTGGCAGGTGTTGCACCAGCGCCTGGGTGGAGGCTCTCTAAATGATGACAATCAAAACAAGTACAGTGTGACACCGCATTCTTGCTGGAAAGACAGCAGCTCTTCCAGACGCTCCAT